TATAACCTCTACACAGTTCCATTTTTCACTAAGTCACAAATAACTAAGATAATATCTCTTGTGGATCTAGATTTTACTCATATCAACAGAAATGGAGATTTAAGGCCTCTCAACAAGGTTATTTTTAAGACTAACCAGATAAAATTTTATTTTAATAATTCACTTCCCCATTTGGGGAGTAGAAGGAGAAAACCATGGGTTTGAAAGGCGACCCTCCTGCTGCCTGTCACGTACAAGCCACTTGACTCATTGACAGGCCTTATGATTTGCAGTGTATAGTATATGTGTTAGAGCACTTGGTCCCCGCCCATTTCCCCCGATATCAACAATAACAACCGTGTTCATTTCCCCGAAAAACAATTGTTAACAATTATTGAATTTCTTTAAAATAACAGAAATGTTTTTATTTTCTATTTGAAATTTCTATTACCTTACAGCTATTTGAGAAGTAGGAAAGATGGTGCTGTGTAGAGACTGATAAAGTATGTGTAAGCATTGCCCTTGACACTTTCAGTGCCATGGTCTGAATACCAAAATCTGAATGAGAAAGACTGTTCCTGTGCATTTGAAACCTTGTCGTGTGACCCCCTGCAGAAAGCAGCACTGAGAACGCTGTTCATCAAGGGAATAATGCCAATGTTTTAACAGCTTAGACAGAGATATTTCAAAATTTGCAATCGGACTGTGGCACTGAAAGGGTTAACAGTATTTTAGTGAACAGTCATCTTATAACAATTGTTTTTTATTCGGAGGACAACATTGATGTTATTCTGAAGCCTTAGTTATCAATTTTTAATGTGTATATATTACTCTCACGTTCAAAGGTTAAAAAATTAATATCTCCCTATATAACATTTATAAACTATTCAATAATAACTGTTTCCAAAGCCTCACAATTTTAAAATTGTTAAATTCTTAGTTTACTTTGTCAAAGAGTTTTATTTATTCCCAGAACTGTAATTATTTTCAGACCGTTTTAAGACACTTGAGGGGTATTATAAAGACACTTGAGGTTTATTGTAAAGACACTTGAGGTTTATTATAAAGACACTTGAGGTTTATTATAAAGACACTTGAGGTTTATTAAAGGTAATTTCAGTTAAAATATTTATTGCTATGTTTTCAGCATTGTAAAACAAAAATGACCAAAATGTCCACCTTTGTAAAAAAAAAAAAAAAAAAAAAATATTAATAAAAATATTTTGATGTATAATTAACGATAACTTTAGTAAATGTAAAAAATTTGTGACCTACTTTTAAATTACAAACTCGCTCAATTTAACTTGCCAACATCAATTTATGACAAATATTTCTGATAGAACTGATTTTTTTAAACAATACCAATTTATCTGCCAAAAACATTTGGGGATTCACTGTACTTGACAAATCAAATATACTGACTACAGACTCATAAAATATTGTTCAAAATATTAGTGCTGGTTACAATGGAACTGTATGATAAGAGTGTGGGAACTCATTACAATCCCAACAAAAAAACTGCAAGCAGGTGCTTAATGGAGTGGGCTGTTATTACACTGAACAAGTACTTAGTTTCAATTTCATTTTTAAGAATACCAGTAATTTTCTATTTTATTCAGAAGTCACTTTTGATCAAATGATTGGACAAAATATTCTTTCATACATTTATGTATCTGTTAGTTTCACGTTAAAAAAAGAAATTAACTAAAAACGATGTCAAAAAATCTCTTGTGAATATTATTTGAAGAAACGCTCTTGAATTAAGCCATTATTTAAAGTTTAATGAATTTAATACAATGCAAAAAGTTTGATATAAAACAAAAACAAAGAATGTCCACAAATTAACACCACAATACACAAAAAAAAAAAAAAAACACAAGATAACAAAATTTTGTATTGGAGCACATAATTCAGGGACACATTAATAAATCTCGATTTTCTTGGGATTCCCATTTTTTCCCCATTGCCAATTATTTCAGTATTTATCGCATGTTAAATCATTGTCAATTCGCTGTGTTATTTTAGGGATGGTAAGCCAACACTTTTTGTATCATTTACATACTTTTTGTATATTGCCTCCAAAAATCATACTAATTAATGCCACAATTTATTTCAACCTTTTTGTACATGCAAAAGTAAAAAACTTTTTCTTTGACACCTTGGCACAGAAAAGATTGTGTGATCTTTTTGAAATTTAACATTGTTTATTTAGCACATATTCTATATTTAGGGCAAGATATTCTCTAAAATAGGCATATCATTATTTCCGATCTTATATGTGTGGAAATGGTTAGTAACATATTTTGTCAAACAATGAGGTATTCGTAATAATCACATAAAAGTTAAACTTGTGACAATATCTAAAGCACTACTGAATAATTATAATGACAAAATAAGCTTTTTAACAAAATAGAGCAGCACTCTGAGATAAATAAATACAAAAAACTTTTGGCATTATTTATTCCAATTTCAAAGAAATTTGGAATTTACAACAATTTTCACCTGGTTACATAATCTTAAAACAGTTTCAGAATCAAAAATGGTTTTATCTTTTCACATTCAATTACGATATGCTTCATGATAACGTTGAATAAAGAGAAGTCTCTATATCTGAGATTTTTTAACATTATTGAACATATTATCCAATTTTGTGTTAATTTTTTCCAAGACTATATATTTTAGAGAAAAATTTGAATTAACGTTTTTCTTTTATTTCTACACAAAAAAAAAAAAAGATAAATAAAAAAGTGTGTATATTTTCATACCTTTGTTTTGGTGCTGTTATCGACAGACCACAAACACCGAAATCAACCATACAACTGCTAGGTGCCAGTTTGAATAAAACACAAACTTAATTACGATTGTCTTAATCCAATGGAAAACAAAATAATAATATATTTGTGCATAGAAATAAATCAAGAAAACAAAATATCTCTGTGAGGAATAGTCTAAAGACTCAAATGTTTGATTTTGGCTGGTCGTTGGCCAGCACAGAGTTCGTGACTTTCTGGACTTTCAACAGGCCACCCTAAATTGCCATATTGGGCAGTAGGCCCATACTGATTTGCAGGATTGGCGCCAGTCACCATAATTCTTTGAACTTTGTTGCCATGTTTGACGAGAATGGTAGGACTAGGGTATGTTCTCCTGGTTAGGGTTACAGTGGTTGGTTTAGGTTGGACACTAGCAACAGTGGTGGTTGACTTCGAAATGTTGGAAGGTGTTTGCATTGATAACACAGGAGTTACAGAGGGCTGCTCGGTGTTAGCATCTGAAACATGCATGCGATTGACCCATTGTTGTTCCACTGGGACGACTGATCCCTGAAAAAAGGTGCATTGTTCAAATTCAGAAACAACTCAACATTAACAATACAGAAACAGTGTGGTGAGGTTAAGTTTTAATTTGACAGGACCAATAACAAGGCCAATTACCGATCTTATCTTGGGAGGCCACTACCAATCTTCAAAGGGAGCCCTGTTACTTCGAATTATTCACAGCAATGCTTTTTGATCGTGTGACATTTTGTTTTTTTGGTATAATTTCCTCAAATAATTAATTTTTAAAAACATAACGATCATGTTTTATACAATTTCATGTTTCAAAATCACATTCTCCTGATGTATTTTCAAAAAAAAAATCAAAAAAATCAGAATGTGATAACTGATTAAATTTCAGTTGAAGTTTTGAAATTTCTGTCTATCTGTGATATTACCATAAAATCAATTTTAAATATTTTCAACAAAAAGATCAATTTCTTTCACAAATGTTTTTTTCTAAAGAGTACAGGACTCAATATATTTAATTTGCTTATTCTTAAACAATTGTTGGATATTTTATCTGTAATTTTGGTCTAACCATAAAACAAACCCTCACCATATAAAACAAAAAATAGATGACCAAAAGCCAATTTTATGTCATAGTAAAATGGATTCCAATAAATTTTTCAAAAACATTTTTTTGAATTATCATTGAATCGCGTGGTAAATATATGAATTTGGAATCAATTAGGAATATTTAATATCGTAAATAATAAAAGACCGTGAAGTAAAAATCTACATCATAAAATTATTTCATGTATACCAGCGCTAAAAAATAGTAGACATAAATTTAGGAATAGATTGGCTTTTAGCGTTAAGTCAACAAGGCATGCATTTCAACAAGACAATACTTCATATTAGTCAACGGATTTTAAACAAAAGAAAAAAATAATACACAAACATAATTTGAATGATTCCTCTCCCCATAAATACTCCTTAATCGATTAAAGGGCATGTGGAAACTCAATAATTTGTTGTTTATTGGAAATTCAATTGGGTCATTCTGGGAACTTTTTAAATGATTTTTTTTAAGATTAAAACAGTCTGTTCATGCTTAGGTTGAAATCATTAAGTTGCCATCAAAAATATTATTAAAATGTCACAGGGAAAAGGAAAACTAGAAACCATGGACATTCTAGTAAAAAAAGTTCAGTGCCCTTAACACTCAATAGAAGACATAGATTGAATCATGTAGTGTAACTACTTGCTCATGTAATTACTGCCGCTAAAACATATACAGAGGAGGATGAGTTTCCACAGCTTCATTGCAAAATTTTGAGCTTGATTGAAGGGAACTATTTGGGGATATCATAGGGATGATTTGCAATGTTTTTAAATACATAATGCGTATTTACAACAAATCATAACTAGGACGATAAAAAAAAAAAAAAAAAAGTTCATCGACTTCGGATAGTGTGTTGTATTTGAACGCAAGGTGGAGGACAAGATTTTAATGGTATACATTTAATACATAGCAATTAATATAATGATCAATTTTCTACTTTCATTTTGCACATACATACCATGGAAGTACATACATGTATATAAAAACCGTACTTTAGCCATTTTAAATTTGTCAACTGTGTCAAGTGTAATGACTCATAAAATGTTAATAAATCTGAATATTTTTTAATTAAAACTATTTGACAGTCTATAATGATTTATTTCTTTTCAAACAGGTTTAAAACTGGATAAATAGATTTGATTTTAAATATTAGAATTAAAACTGAACTTAGGCAAGTAGACTTTTAACAGCCTGGGTAAATTTTGGCAGTAATATTGTTAGGTAAGAATATGTATTTGACAAGCCATCCTTTGTTTTAAATCTCGAAACTTTTCTCGAGCTGTAGTAACGATTTTGACTGGGTCACTAATATAACTTTTTCTTTTCAACAATAAATTTTACATGTATTATTTTAAAAGTTTGTATAATAATTTTCATTTGGGACAAACTATCTGAGAACGCTTGTATAACTTAAATTCCAATGTATTCTTCTTAACAACTTTATAAACAAGTATATGTCATCGTACACTCAAATTTTAAAAATACAAATATACACATTTCAATCGATAATATTATAATATATATATATTACTCAGGAGTACACATAAACAATGGAATAAAGATTCTTTAGACTTGTACATTATAATAAAAATAGTTTAAGATGACAGGACAGCAAGCAATCGTATATAGATCGTGCATCCCTAACCCCCTCGCCCACAATAAACCATGAGACTATGAGAGACAATAAGTGATTATAGATCACCTCCAAAACTCTCTCAAAAAACAAAACAACGTAAGCAATGTGCTTATAGATCGCTCCCCCCACCAAGAAATCACAGGAGTAAAGATGACCACATCTCTAATCCTGCCCCTTCCCCAGGCATAAATCACACTGCTCCCAACCCTAAATTAAAAGGTGACAACGTATCCCACCACATCTCCCACCAGAAAAAAAAATAAATAAAAAAAATAAAGACATGACCATAGAGGACACATCTATCCCCCCCCCCCCACCACCTCACAAAAGATCATATCATATACACTGTTAGAACAATATCAGAGGAAAGAAAAGTGTTCTTAAATCACCCCATACACCCCCTTGAGAAAACACTAGACATATTTTAGATGCTCAATTCAACATTCTGGAATCATAATTCTCTTGATCCCTCGACAGGTGTGGACTGAATAAACACAATGTCACGATTCTGCTCATACTACATTTGTGGATTAGGAGAGCTTTCCCTCGTTTTGCAATTCCCTCAATTTGGAACATTCCAGACTGATAATCGAGCACCCGATAATACATCCCCGATAAATGAGATCCATTTAGAAGGAAAACATGACAAAAAGACAATTTTCTTATTTTTTTGTTTTGTTTTTGAGAGGGTGTCATTTTTCTAATTATTTAAGTTATATTTACGTTTATGACACATGAAAGATGAATTTACAAAAATGAACATGGATGAAGATTAAAGCTTTTATGTAGATATATAAAACAACTTTTTTTTTCTAGATTTTTTTTCTCTTTACAAATTTTCATGGGTTTTTTTAAAATCTTTGATGACAAATACTGCTTTTATCTTTTCATAGTAATTCACAGGATAAACCCATAAATTACGAGGACGACTTATTTGTAACAATTTGTATATTACAAAATTTCTTTTAAATTTTTTTTTTACACTATAGTGCATAATGTCCGGGAATTACCTCGACTGCTGTAGCTTCTTGTAAAGCTGTGTCAAGGTCTGTTGGTTGCATCCCTGTAGGTGGAGGTTGAGCGTACATTAGTTCAGGGGTTGTTGTGTGCATGGCGTACACATACCCTGGGTTCCCACCAAAGGAAGCTGGTTGACTGGGACTCTGAAATTACACAGAGTGGAATGACTCAAAGTCTCAATAACACAATATACATCATTCAATTGGAGACAAAATGGTAATTTTTTTATTTCCAGTGTTGTGTGGAATTTAAGACATGAGAATATTGCCCAGACAGTGGCTTTTCCACATAATTTTTTTTGATTTCTTTTTACTGTCAAGTTTTTTTTTTTACATTCAATTTGTACACATATGATCCTTTTGTTACAAAACGATTTTATAATATTTTGAACTGACAATCGTGCTTCACCATAAACTCTGAATTTTATACACTTAAAAAAAATCTACTCTACCAAAACAACTTCATTTCAGAATTCTCTCGACAATACCAGGAGAAAAATGGGGTTTAACATGCATTTGACACAAATTAGGTCATTTCAAAACTAACACATGATTAGATGGTATTTCCATAAATTGCTTAAAGTGTGCGTATTAAACCTTTTGGCCACTTCAACAATCACGATCATGGCTGAAAACAGAGCAAGTATGAAAAACTAACCTGTGGGCCCCAACGCCACTGTGGAGATGCCGTCCATTGTGGAGTAGGCTGAAATAAGATAAAAATATTTAACCAGCTGGCCTTATATGGTCTTTTTCAATCTTCCATTAGTGTCAGCAGAACAAAATAAAAATCTAATGTTCATCATAATAAGATGTCATTGGTTTTAATACCTACCGCTTGATATGGCGACTGATGATAAGCAGCATTTTGATAGGCGGCTGCTGATTGATAGGCTGCTGCAGATTGGTAAGCAGCAGCTGACTGGTAACTTGGTGTCATGTATATAGTAGGCGTTTGTGGTACCATAACCGCAGCAGCTGCTGAGTAAGGATTACTCGTATAGGTTGGCTAAAATAATTGAAACATACATATTAATCATTTGATACACAAGGCAGAGTATACTTACTCTTTTAAGAACACATGATACCACTTTTCATTCGTTCACGCAGCAAATAGATTTTACTGTACCATGAACAAGCAACGAGCCGCATTCTCTTTAGATTGTGCTGTGGTAAAATAAGTCCTGATAATCATGACTAGAAAAGAATGCCTCCCAATGTTTTTACTACAGCTAGAACTCGTACACATTTTCTCACTAGCAGTGATGTGCATTCATTCACCAACTGTCGACTAATGCCGATGGGAGCTATATGGTTTTTTTCTAGTCACGATTGTCAGGGCTTATTTCTAGATAATAAGATTGACATAGTAGAGGTATAGAGTTTATCAAGCCAATCACTACAAGTTTATAACAGGACAAAATACATTAAGTTTTAATGATCACTTTTGGATAACTCAAAAAAGTTATGTCATTTCTTTAACCTCTGATGCTTAATTTGTGAACTTAAAGATGTCTTAAACATACTATATGCAAGAGCTAAATCTGCCTATTGCAAGTCTTTATTTAGGCGTCAGATGTTATAGAAATTATTAATTAGACCTTTATTTACACGACAAGCTCAAAATCCACTCTGTAGACCCACGGATGGCTTGGATACAGTTTGGATTTAAACATTCGTCAATTTAAAATTAATTCAATAAATAATAAATGGCGGACCAAGCTAATGTTTACCATTAGTCGCTGATGTCACTACCGGAATCTGATGATGAAAGGCCTGCCAAGCAAGGCTACCATAGCCATTGAGCATGTTACTTGATAGTCGAGAATATGTATGTGGAGTTATCGTCTGTCAATCAAACAATCACCAATTCTCAAAGGCGGTGCAGACACAATATTGATGCCTATTTCTAGTCCAAACTTCCAACAGTGACAATTCCGTTCAGAACCAAGTAATTTGACTGGAATTTTCAACATTTTCTTTTTTTATCATCTATATCTATTTTTGAATTATTATAGGAAGAATGGACAACTCTTTATAAAACTCTTAACTAATGTATCTTTAATCTGGTACAAACTGTGGGATTTGGTGATATATTCGGACCAGAAATATATTTAAATTAATTAATCAAAAGTTTTTATCAAATCTCTCGAAAAACAATTTAATCCCAAGAAAACTAGATAATGGGAGAATCCATTTTTAGCTTGTGTTTATTGTCGTTAGTTTCTGTCCATTTACCATAAAATACTATGCCAAGTTCTTATTCTGCCATTTAATTGCAGTGTGTACTGGATGTTTAAGTCTCTAAAAGTTTGCCTTACTGTCAGTCTAGTAGGTAATTAGGGACACCCTTACAATTCAGGGAATCTGGTATAAGATGAGTGTCTCTACTTTCAATTTATACCAAATATGCCATACTAGTGTTGGAAGGAAAGAGACTTGGCTTAATCCACACTAATATTGATTATTTAAGATTTAAATGAAGATTTAAAAAAAAAAAAAACCCCCAAAAAAACCCAGGTAGATAATCTCTCGGATTGCATTCAATCGGATTAAATTTTTCAATTGATCATGTCTTTGTAAATACTAAACAGAGCTAAACCATATTCAGATTGATACTTCTTTTACAGATTATCTTTCACGGTATTGTAATTTGTAAAGGGATTAATGGATCTTTAAAGTTTACATTTTAATAAATACAAGCCGGGTTGAGTTTCTTTTTTAATTATACTTCAAAGTTCTCAAATAAGACGTGGTATGAGGTGTTTTATAAACTGTAAGCATATCATCCTGCCTTGTGCACATTGTTAATACTTATATATATAGCTGACTGGAGGGACTGTGAACGTTTGAACCAGCACTTGAGAAGCCGAAGACGATTCGTAAAATATGAACAGAATAGAACAACAGAAACAAGACAGATGACAAGCTCTTATCTCACAAGCTCAAAGCTAATGTCCATTTATTCTTTCACTTTCAGGGGGTTGCAGTAACGCACCAGCTTGTCGACTAGAATATTTCAGCTTTGGCACAAAAAGCTGAGGTCTTTTCCAGTACACATTGTCATGCATGTACATAAAAGAACCAACACAAGTTGGCATTCCAACTGAATTTTACCATTTTGATCAAAGCATCATGTTGTCCAGATATAAAATCCAGTATCATTTAATTGCCTTGGACAACAGTCTTAAGCTTGTAAGGGGGGGGGGGGGAAACAGGGGTATCATTTTTTTTTTAAAAAAAACGTTTATTTTCGTGTCTAGCTCGAAGCAAGTAACTGGTGATGAACTGTCTGACGATATAATTTAACTCTCAATATTAAATCTACATGTCTAGCCTACTGATAAATAAAAGTCAAAAATCTAAAACCAACTTCAAAATAACATCTATAGAGTGCTCACAAACCCAATAAAATTTCACAAAAATTTGGTGCTAAACAATGTTAGTAATATAACCCAGATTATGTAGATATAATAAATATTAGAATGCACACAAAACTTATATATATTTGGTAAAACTATATTTTCTATTTATAAAGCTTGAATAGCTATCACAGTCTCTGTCAGGTGATTCACAACAAATCAAATCACTGCACTTGCTTTTAAATATTAGACAATATAATGGCAATGAACATTTTCCTTTAGCTTGGCAAGATTAAGCGAATTTGAAAATTTCTCCTTTGCGGTACGGCAACTCGAAAACTTAATAGGGTGTCTCACCTGGGGCTGGGTTAAGGGGTAGCCCCCTTCCGCGGCATGATATATAGCCATTCCATTTTGGTATGTGTAGGGAACTCCATTAGCAAACATGACAGTCCCTGCTTGTATATTAGAATCTGAAAATATGGTACAACAAGACAACCCTACAATAACATCAAGACAGAAAAAATCAAAAACGCAAGAAAACTGAAAACAAAGTGAGGAGGGTTAAACAAATCAATAATGAACAATACTGTGTTGATAAGCAGGCCTCATTTTATTCCAATACATCTGAAAATCTAAACTGTTGTAAAGTGTATGTCAACGTTTCTTGGATTCAAAATAGGAGGACATTAGTTAAAATTGTTGATATACATGTAGATGACTAGATGTTGTTCTCTTTGCTTAACATCTTATAACCTTACCACTCACAATCTTCCAACATTCCCCCTTACTGTCTTCCCAGAAACTTTTCTCATCTTTCCCCTTACCATCTTCTGCCCCCCCTCCCCCATCTTCTCATCTTTCCCCTTACCATCTTCTGCCCCCCCCCCTATCTTCTAACCTTTGCACTTAAGCGGGGGACAAACTAGCAAAATTAATAGGTGCCAAATTGCAGCTCAACTCCTTCAGTCAAATGAGTGGACACACCAAGCGAAATTCTCTGCACGATTCACCAGTCGATTGCAACATTTTTCACGTTAACACTGCCGCGACCATGTCTTCAAACAATCATGTGACTTCTCAACATCAGTCATGATTAGCTAATGAATTCTAAAGATAGGTTGCCAGGCAACGAAACATATGCCAAAAACAGCTAAATAGTCTGGGCAGTCAACAAGAGTTGACTAATATTTTTACTTTTTTTGGTATTGAAACATTTATAATACACTAAAATCTGATTAAGAATAACAACTCATTAAGTTATTATCAGAAAATCATTAGAATTTGTTTGGTTTTTATAAGTTCTGCCCCATGCTAACGTTTAGTATACGAAACATTTAATACCATGGATTTTGCTGTTCAAGTTATCAAAATCCATTGAAAATACTTGTTTGTCTCAAGATCTTAAACTCTTTGTATCAATCTAAAGTCAATCGGATGATAACTTTAGCCTCTAGAGCATCACAAAGATTTTTCCAAGTGATCAAGGGCCATAACTTTGGCAGTAATTATCAATAGGCTTCTTAGTCTCATGACCTTAAACACTGTGTATAAATTTAAAGTCAATTGGATATTAACTTTAGCCTCAAGGGCCATAATTCTGGCAGTAATTATCGAAAATCGCTGAAAATCAACATGATTCGTCGCCTCATGACCTTAAACACTGTGTATAAATTAAAAGTCAATCGGATATTAACTTTAGCCTCAAGGGCCATAAATCTGGCAGTAATTATCGGAAATCGCTGAAAATTAATAGGCTTCTTCGTCTCATGACCTTAAACACTGTGTATAAATTTTAAAGTCAATCTGATATTAACTTCAGCCTCTAGACCGATGACATTATACGACCTCAGTTCAATGTGGGTGTATAAAATCGGGCGTATGCTTCGGCAAACCTGACATGCTAGGCGAATTTAGGCGCCGATTAATTTGGCCAAATCATTCGGCTAGTGTGTTCAGCGCTTTACAATCTTCTTTCCACCCCAACCTCCTGTCTTCTATCATTACCCCTTACTATCTTCTGATATCCCCCCCCCCCACCGTCTTCCGACATTCACCCTTACTATCTTCTGATATCCCCCCACCCCACCGTCTTCCAACATTCACCCTTACTATCTTCTGATATCCCCCCCCCCACCGTCTTCCGACATTCACCCTTACTATCTTCTGATATCCCCACCCTCCCCCGGCATTCACCCTTACTATCTTCTGATATCCCCACCCCCCACCATCTTCCGACATTCACCCTTACCATCTTCTGACCTCAGAAACTTTTCTGACCTCCCAACATCCCACACATTCTTTTATAGTCCTCCTGACCTCCCACACACACACACTTCTGACCATCCATCGTTCACCTCTCCTGTCATTCCACCTTCTGACATCCCCCCCTCCCAGACATCCCCTCTTAAAATCTCTCGCCCTCATCCCCCCCCCTTACTGCCTTCTGACCTCCACACACTCTTCTGACCTTCCATCCTTCCCCTTACTTGTCCATTCTCGTTAAATAATGACCCAGTCATCTCGGACATACAGTTCTCTAAAAAGTATTTTTGTGAATAATATTAGTTAAAAAAAAAATTTTTTTTTAATTTTTTTTGAATTAGTTAGAATCAACAGTAAGGTTATACATATGTACTAAATAATCATGAGGCCTGTATCATGCAATAAAATTATAACGTCAACTGCTACACGGTTTAAAACTTTCGCGGCTCATTTTAAATGCACAAATCTTCGTAACGATGGTCTAATATAATTATAATATCAAGCGTCTTATTCATAAAAACCCTCATCAGGAATTCTTTAATGATATCCGTTACATAAAGAAGCAAATCATGTTGATTTGATTAGATTAAATGAGCAAATTCTAGCCAGATTCATACTTGGCTCTTGAATTTAAAGGGCTTTGATTTGATGGTCAATTTAATTCAACACATTGAGTTTTTTTTTTATATCTCTAAAGATACGAGCTATCGACAGATAAAACCAGGCATTTTATCAGATCTCACATGTACAAGAGGATTTTGAAATAGCTTAAGGTAATTGTGGTTGTAAGTCGTAGACCAATCTTATATTATTATTTTACTGTCATCCCAATAGGAAATTGCCGACAGCTAGGATGAGATGCTGGAAGTAATTCAATTGATTTGGACAAAAATTGTAAAATTACTTCCTTATGGACAATTTTATACATGTAATCACAGTTAATACAAATTTGACGACAAACTGGCTCCCCAAATCCTGACTTAGATATGAATAAGACGCCATGACTAAACTGCATAACAAACGACAAGCAAATTATTGACAGTAATAAATTTTGTAATGACTGTGTGCTATTTTCATGCTCAGAAAAATATGAGATTGGATTTTTTGCAAGATAGAACCCATTCAACAACACTGATCTACCTGTGAGGCCAAGTTATCATTTTATCCTTTTCATACAACATCTGAAAAATGGGGGGCAGTTACAATTAAAACTTTAATTCTGTCCTACAATATGTATTGGGCGGAGGGGGCAGTTACAATTATATTATGTACGGGGGAGGGTGGGGGCAGTTACAAATTAAAAGTCTAATTCTGACTTACAAAATATGTATGTGAAACTGCATGGGACTTTATATTTTGTGAACTGAGAATATGTAAACCAACATTCTGACCTCACAATAGTACGTACTTTCTGTAAGTTAGGGTAATGAGGAAATATGTATCGAAGAGTAATCCTTACATTTTGAATGCAATAAATAATGCGTAATGTGAAAATTAACCATTAATGTTTCAAGTAATGATGATGTAATAATGTATAATGAAAATTAATGAAGATGATATAAATAATGGGTAATAATGTGTGTGATTGAATATTATTCATAACAGTTTGAAGTAACGAAGATATCATAAATAATGGATAATGTGTAATGGTATTGAAAAGTAATTCCATTACATTCTAAATATCATATAGTGCTCAACTGCATTCAAAAGTGGCTTTCTGTGCAAGTCTTACGCCATTTTAGTGGAGCCATTGTTTATTTAAGATTATAGATCTTTTCAATTCAAATCCACCCTTTACAGTGGGAGTACTTACAAATGTATATATAGTGAATATGGTTTATCCATTTCCCACAAAAAGGACTGGCAATGAATCAGAGTGTTTTCCACAAAATTTGTGTTTGGACAGTGTGTGTAGGTACATGTAGTCACTGACAGTGTGTGTAGGTACATGTAGTCATTGACAGTGTGTGTAAGCATGTAGTCACTGACGTCTGACATTATGTACATGTAGTTATTTAGAAATAGAGAATTTGTATTTAATTTTGAAATTGAAGACCGACAACAATCTAGATGTAGATGAAACAAATATTGTAACAATAAAATAATCCTACTTACCATAATTTCTGGTTAATACCTGAAATACACAACCATCATTCAATTTATTTTAATCAAAACCCAAGATCAACAGCATTTTACAAGAGCACATTAATTCTATTTGATCCAGATATATATATCCACAATGGTGTCCAAATATTGTGCCAAGTATAACTGTTGCTCATAAATGCATAAAAACTTAAAATTTGGAGTGATATGTGTTTGTACATGCTAAACAATTGATTAGATAGAACATTCTATTGCATTAACCACCTCTTGCAAATATATTTCTGAAATAAGTTACTCAGGGTATTTTTTTCCTACCTTTTAAAAAGTGACCATCAACCATTGTCCAAAAATTGTATGTGTTTGAATTATATTTTGGAATGCCATGGTAACAACTGAAATATTGCTTAATTTTCCTTTTTTTTTTGGTATGCAGACATCTGTGTAAACCTACTCAACCTATTGTTTTGAAATTATGTATTATATTATGAATGCCAGTGAGTGCAAAAAAAAAAAATTCTGTAAGGAATCATCAACAACCAAAAATGAACATTTTTATAACATCGATTACCACAGTAAATATATTTTAATATTTTCAAAAAATGCAATTTCTACATTTGGACACAATTTCTACATTTGGACACAATTTCTACACTACATTTGGACACAATTTCTACATTTGGACACAATTTCTACATTTGGACACAATTTCTAGACACAATTTCTACATTTGGACACAATTTCTACATTTGGACACAATTTCTACATTTGGACACAATTTCTACATTTGGACACAATTTCTACATTTGGACACAATTTCATAAAGATCCGCTACACTAAAATCAGAAATATTATTGTTTTAACAGAAAGATAAATGCTGGCAAATTTGTGTATTCTAGTTCTCTTCCATACAATCAGATGATCTTTTAAAATATCCTTTACTGTTTGAAAAAGGAAACGAAATGGAATTTAACGTCCTCCTTTTTTCTGCACGGACTGAGCTAATGAAAAGGTCCTATTTCCGAGCCTTGTGTTGGTCGAGAAAGTTTACCAGGCTTTTCCGGCGTGCTTTCCTCTTGTCAGAGGTACAAGACAAAGGGCCTAACAAGGGACAACATATAGTCATTTGGATAGGACGAAAAACCGAGGTCCCATTTACACATGGGCATGTACATAAGAGATCCCTTGGCAGTTGGAATCTGATAGAAGAGAAAGCAGTAGTGCCGCTGCCGAGCCAAATTGTCCCTCAAAGCACACTGTATGGCATATGCTCTCTTTCATTAGCCCAGGAGGAGCAGAACAGTAGGATGTAAAACCCCATTTCATTTCGCTTCCAGATACGCATTATGAGCAATATTGGAAATAGCAATTGCAAGGTGAAAACTAGATCCATTAGGGCTTGGTTTCCCTGGTATTACCAAACTAATATTGTTGAAGACAGGACCAACTTGTTTTAATCAAATATTATAATTTGGTTGAACTTAAATACTTACTTGTTTACGAACAGCTGGACCAATGTTTAATTTACGATCTCGAAACACTAAATTATCTGCCTGAAATATACAATAAACACATCGGTTTGACGTTCACTCAACACAAACTAGGTAATTTCAAGATTAACATGGATCGATTATAATTCAATAAATCGCTTGCGCGTAGGGGTCTTTAGAAGTAGAAGGAAACTCATTTTTAACCGGAGAAAACCACAAGGTTGGACAGACGAGCCTACTCCCTGCACCCTGGCACATACTAGCAGTGAATCGAAACCAAGAAACTTGGATTGGACAGACCTTAGGATTTAATATATGCTCAAGACCATTTGGACAGGTAACAACGTCACTTACACCACACAACTCTGCAAAAACAGTTTCAAATTGAGAATCTGAAAATTACGCCAATGAACTATGCCACAAAGGTTTGAATATTTTAATCAGACATGATTTTAGCTGTTGGGAAAAAAAAGCTGAAAAAAAATCTCGGGGAGGGGGGCATGTCCAGGGGCAACACCAGTGTGTTATGGGGGCCAAAGGCGATTTTAAAGTGGGGTTCTGATAATGAATTTTAAAATTCTTGTATTTGTCTAATAATTTACTACAAATTTTGGCTTAACTTATATTTAATTTATTTCTCTTCCATTTACAGAATACTTACTAACAAAAAAAATAATGTTTGAACTACGGATCCGATCTTTTGATTGTCCCTGTATATTTCTATACAAGAATGTGTTGCTCTAAACTTCCCCATCCCCATCCCTCCGACCGTAATTAATATTAATAATTCACGACTCTTCGGACATTGACTTTACGAATAGAACGTCTCACAAGCTCGCCTTCCACCTTCCGTTCCAACCATTTCCACGTCTATACATTTTAAAGTCCTTTGTTTGTCTAATACTTGTAGTTTGGTGTCTGTCAACGTCTCGATCTACGACCTTAGCCATAGCGCGAAAGAACTGACGACGATTACATAATCATATAGATATGGTACGATAGAGAAACTCTATGTTACTTGTACGCAAAGACAGGCGATCTCGTTCAATCTCGCGCGAGTCTACGATACCGTACTGTTAATGTTTACATCGCTGATGTCCGGTTATCAGATTTTAAAGTTATGGAGTTAACAAGTTAGAAATTCGTCAGGAAAAAATTAATGATTTTTTTTATATTACGCTTTTGAAACAAGGTGCTTGAATTAAAACGGAACAATATCGTAACAGCGTTGTCAAAAATCGGAACCGACCGCAAAATATCAGAACCAGAGGGGACTAAAGGCAGAAATCCGCTTTAAAGCGGGAAAAAATCATGTCTGTTTAATACAAGTGAAAGAACATTCTGACTAACCTCTTTTTTAATAATACGATCTGCATCTTCTTGACTTTCAAACGTAACAAAACCATATCTGAAATACATGTACAGACAAACATCAAGCAAGTCATTATATTTAAATGTGGGCTAGTATTAGAAAATAAGTTGGATTGTATACAAAAGTCATGTAGCTACAACTTTTCTGCAGTGTCGACTTTGATTCAAGTTACGACTTTGATTCAAGTCACAGATAAGAGAGAGAGAAATGGGGTTTAACATCCACTCGACACAAACTAGGTCATTTCGGGACTAACATGTTTTTAAAAAAAAAAAAAAAAAAAAAATTATTTCAATAATTCGCTTGGCGTAGGGGTCTTTAGCAGTGGGAGGAAACCGGAGAACGGGAGAAAACACACGAGGTTGGACAGGTGACCCTTATCCTTGTCAAGTACAACCATGGATTCGAAACCACGCCAGTTGACTCAATGACAGGCCTTATGATACAGCGTGCACGTGCTATGCTAACCATTCTAACATCGCACTCCAAATGGGCTATTGAAGACGGGTACCGGTATACACAATACAGTGTGCTATGAGGGTAATTTTGCCCTTACAGTGGCTTTACGGCCTACTCTTTAAACAAATTCTAACTGCCAAGGGATCTTTTATGTGCACACGAATGTGTACACAAAACCTCAGTTTTTTAGTTTTTTACCCCGTCCGAATGACTCGACAGTTGTCTTTGTCAAGCCATCTTCAACTTGCACAATATTATAGTTTGCAAGAGATTCCAATAACGCTAAATGACACATCAAAGACAAGAGCATGTCAAGAGTTACCTACCCTTTTGATACCCCGGCTCTATCTGCTATTATTTTTGTGTCTTTAACTGCACCATAAGCGGCAAAAAACTGTTTTAACTCTGCATCTGTTGTCTGTAAATATAAATTATAAAAATGACTAATAATAATATTACATGTACTAATCTACATCTACAGTATTCTATCCACATCCGACGTCGCTGTGAATCAATGGAAAAATGAATTACCAGAGCAAAATTTAATTGGGAATCTATAAAGTTGCGAATCATTTCTATCAGATAACAGACCTGATCGGGAGGCGCGAGTCATTACTCGAGCGAATGCTATACGCGCTTGAAATGTCATTTGCAACAGTAAGGCATTTAAAGCTATCTAAGACCATAATTATTTGATTTCCTTGTTTATTTGGTTCATTTGAACCATTTTTTTAATTCAATACATGTATCTACGATGAAATACAAGACAATACTCTGTTTCCTATGACGTATATTCTGAAAACCTTATCTTGGCTCACCAGGATACTTTTTTTATAAAGATGAATATGGAAAACCTGACTATGCTGTGAGTCTTCATTCTTCTCTCTATTGCTAAAGCGGTGGACACACTAGCCGATTCGGCAGAATCAATCGCCGTTGAAATTCGCCTAGTATGTCCACTCACCACTGTCATTTGGCCGAAGAATCAAACATGTTTGATATATTCAGCCGAATTATATTCGCCTAGTGTGTCTGCTTTGCCAAAGAATTCATCCAAATGTAGAATCCATTAGCCAATCACCACTCATATCGAGAAGTCACGTGATTATTTGAAGACATAGACGCCGCCATGTTTAATCATGTGACGTGAAGAGTGATGCAATCAACTGGTGAATCGGGCAAAACAATCGCCTAGTGAGTTCACCCATTTGGCTAATGTGTACACCTCTTTAGTCTGACCGTAATATTCATGATTTTCTAATTTAAACAACTTTTACAATGATCAAAACAATGCTTTATTTTTGACATATTATAGAAACGAATGAAATGAAATATTGGAGTTTAACATCCTACTGTTCTGCCCGACTGGGCTAATGAATACAGGCATACGCCATACAGTGTGCTATGAGGGAAATTATACCCGGATAGCAGCACTACGGCCTACTCTTATATTGAATTCCAACTGCCAAGGATCTTTTACGTGCATGCCAATGTGTACACTGGACCTCAGTTTTACATCCCATCCGAATGACTAGACAGCTGTCCTTGTAAATGCCTCTGTCCTGCATCACTGACAAGGGGGAACCATGCTGGAAAATCTGGATGAACTTTCTTAGCCAATGCAGGGATCGAACACCCGACCTCCAGGCTAGTCAGCCACCGTCTTATCTACTTAGCCACCATGACCCCTGACATATTATATGGAAGGGTATCGCTGCCAATATTAAGTGCTCTGCTACAATGCCTTTTCTATTGATTATATGTAAAAAGTACAAAGTCATAATACCGGTAATGATAATGTCAAAATACCTCTAAGGCAAGAGTTAAATGTAAAACGTCAAATGTTAAGTGTTAAATGACAAATGTTTTGTGGGAAAATGCTTTTTTTGACATGTCTACATTTTACATTTCTCTCATTACATTTTACATTTGCTCTCTGCCACACCCCATTTGTCCTTCACGCAAGGGGGGGGGGGGGCTGTGCAATGTCCAAATGCGAAATTTCAGGTATCATGTTACATATTAGTGAAAATCACATTCATTTCTGTTTGTAAATATGTAAATAGTTTTCTGGTACAATCGTATTTTCATAATTTAAATCCAATAAATATCACACTATTAAAGGGGTATTCAAGTAAAAATACTGGTCTAAATACGAAATTCCAGATACCATGTTAAGTATCACTGATTGCTCTTTTCCCACAAAACATTTGTCATTTAACACTTAACATTTGACGTTTTACATTTAACTCTTGTCTTAGAGGTATTTTGACTTTATCAATATCGGTATTAGGACTTTGTACATTGTACTTTTTACACATAATCAAAAGAAACGACATTGTCGCGGAGCATTTAATATTGGCAGCGATACCCTTCCATAATATTATACCATCCACAATACAATTCATGTTGTGTGAGATAAAAAAAAAACTTGCAAGCTATGCACAAAATATGGAATACAAAAAAAATTAATATTTTCCAATATGACAATAACTGCCAAAATACAATGTATAATGATAGTATTACCATCAGGGCTCGACACAGATTCGTGACCGATTTTTAACTATCCACGGCAATGTATGGTCGCCGATGATTAGTGCTGGGTATCGATAGTGATTTTTACTATCAATAATCGGCATTGAAATGTCCATTGATAATCGATAGTATCGCAACAAACATATTTTCACGGTAGTAATCAAGATTGGATTACATGTTTAAAAGTCAAAACCTCACGATGTCGAGATAGATGGTTTTTGTTCATCTTTAATTAATAGTTCATCTTTAATTAATAATAAACTGTCTCATATTACAGTATAGCAGCAATTGCTACGATGGCTGTCGTGAATTTTGAGCCCTGTTCATATGAAGATTCAAACTGTAAAGATTTCCAAAGCACTAATCAATGCCAGTTTTGAGACAGTTTGAAGTTTATCTACTGGTACATGTACTTACATTTGCTGCTATACCGCCAACAAATATTCTACTTGGAATGACTGTGCCAAATTTTGGTGCATTTGTTCCACTCAAGGGGGTAGTGCTGGGGGTAGCTGAAGGAGAAACATCTGTGGAGGACTGAAAAGTACAAAAATATAACATAAATTACTTAAGTTTTAAAACAGTAAGTAGAAACGTGTGGCATTCACAAAGAATAAAGCCAAATCAAATCATCTTTCATGTTCTCGCAGCCAGCATCAAGGGTTCATATTTATAGTTTATCATTATTATTATATAGTAACATCCACACATAATTCTACTTCAAATTGAAGCCGCAAGCATATATTTCCAGAAAAAAAGGGGCTATCTACATAAGTCGATTCTTCACGGCCTTGTGCCTTTAGTTAAATTTGTTAATTGTTTACTTATCTAGGGAGGGATTGATTTTAGGAGAGCGCAATTAACAGAGCGCGCAACAGTATACTAGTCAGGGCTTGCCACGAGACACGAGTATACTCGCACGCTACGCTCGCGTAAAACCAAATTTACGTGAGTGATTAAGTACTCGCGCAAATATAAAAAATAATTTAATCAGAAATAATTGAATATCGTAATATAAAAAGCCGTAAACAATTTGTATGCCTTCATATCGATGCACTATTGCGCACGCGGCGCGTCTTTCCAGTGCCAACTGTTGTTACTAAAAATACTTTGAGACGCGTACTGCCAGGTGTTTTTTAAGCGGATGTCCTTTGCCGTGTATGGATAATCAAACATTGAGCGGATGTTGTCGTTTCTATTAATAGCAATTCTTTCGATCCTGCATCTTTTCTGCAAATTGATGGGATTGAAATCGTTTTGCCTGTTCTTTTACCTTTCTAAGCTTTAACCGAATCCCCTCAGCACGCCAACGATGGCAAAGGGAAGCCCAGTTTCTCTTGCAACGTTCTTGTCATGGGAAGACGATTTACAGATAATATTACTGCCAAGGAAATAAAAGAGTATGCATTGTCATTGTGTGTGAAATAGCTTTATTCAACGTCCGCTTCCACCTAAGTGACAAGAGCATTGCCATTAGGCACATGAAATTTAAATGGCTACTCACGCACATAATTCTGCGTGAGTAAATACATGTACTCGCCTCACTCGCGCAAGTCTATATTTGCGTGAATAGTCATCTACTCGCCTCCAATTTGCTCGTGGCAAGCCCTGTACTAGTACCAGCAAAAATTTTTCGAACACAAAATACACTATCTATTGAATGAAAATCAAGTACCGGTACAAGTAACTGGAACTTAGCATTGTAAATGTAAACATTCATAGCATCAGTACCGTAGATTCACGCAAGACAGACATTTTGGTTAACTTCTTTTATTATTTATTGCTCAGCTTACGAATGTCATCTCGTCGAGCCTACCTGTCACGAAGCATGTTGACATTCTTTACTTTAGACTAACATTACAACAACACCACTGGAAACAAAGTACATGTATCCTTAGGCTTAATCAAATATATTGTCGTAACAGAAGCAATGAATTACTATGTGTTAATTGCTAGAACTAGTAGAAGTGAAAAGAAAATTTCATTGCAGACTTGTTATCGGGAAGTTCAATCCTTATAACCTAAACTTGATCATGACAGCGATTTTTTTAGCATCTGCTTTTTTCAAAAGTCAATCCATGCAGGCCGATATATGGTGAATGCATTGACACCCTAAAACAAATCTTTACACAAAATTTGATACATTACATGACATCATTTGTTAAGCAAAGTTTGATAATTACTGGGAAGGCAGTCCTTCTAATTCTGGTGCCTGACGTTTTAGTCCGACATTGGTATTGATTTGTATTTTTTTTGGTTTTTTTTATTTAATAATAATAATACATGAATACTAAACTCCCTACAGTGTTTCATTAGATTAGGTTAAACCTAATGACCTGATCCCACTCAAATAGTGAATACATGTTCTGCCGGACTAACCACTAATTTCTGTCCCAACCTATATGACTGGTCAATAACCAAAATCAAAGCCTAACAGCCAGTGTAATAATATCATTTAGGTCTTACCGTCTATGCAAATATTTTTCATTAAAATTATTAAAGCTTAATAGTAGCTAACCTATGAGTAAGCATACATTACTACAAGATTATTTTCCAGCGTGGTTCCCCCTTGACGGAGGGCCTGACAAGATTGAACAGCTGTCTAGTCATTCGGATGGGGTGAAAAACCGAGGTCCTGTGTACACATTGGCATGCACATAAAAGATCCCTTGACAGTTGAAATTCGATATAAGAGTAGGCCGTAGTGCTGCTGTCCGGGCAAAATTTCCCTCATCATAGTCATAGCACACTGTATGGCGTATGCCTGTCTTCATTAGCCCAGTTCGGAGCAGAACAGTAGGATGTTATACCCCATTTCATTTCATTTCACAAGATTATTTAGTTACCAATTTAATTTCCTCCACCCAGGACTGAAATCAAAACAAACAGGCCGCTACTAAACTAGTCTAATCTTGCACTTTATAATTTCATAACGAACTTTTGTTATATTTACACAGGTATTTAATAGACCTACATGTAGCCTACCTACAGCTTTAGTAGATCTGTGATCTAGGCCTAAAAAAACGTATTTAACTAGGCCTAGATCTACATACATTACATAGACCAGTTGGAAAATTTATGTGGGAACAATGTTTAGAAATATCCCTGTAGAAATAGATGTGTAAATAAATTTATGTTGAATCGATTTGAAATAGAATTGTAGGAAAATTTTTGATAGGCTACTCCACGTGCCATTTTGACAAGGAATGAAGGATTAAAAAACTGCGGCAACCCACAGAAAAGATTCAACAAATTCTTTGCTTTGATGACATTCAACACATCTTGGTTTCAAGAAAACTTTTTTCTACTTTCGGTAAAGAAAAACACAACAAATATTTACCTACTCATAACAAACTTATGTGAAATTGGATAGGAGCAAGCGCGTGCTGTACTAAATTTAGACATTGCATCGTGTAATTTGATACCAAAGACTGCTAATACCTCATTTGATCAACAGTCAACAGAATGGCCGATGAACTTTCTCGGATGTTGTGGCCCAAACTTTTTTTACAAGTGGACAGTGCTGTGTTAGAAATGATGAGAGAAATTTGCTTGAGATATAATCCACATATAAATACCTTGCCGTATTAGATAAGTAATTCCAACTTACCATGATTTAAACTGGAAAATCTTCAATAAGTTAACAAGAAAACAAACGTAACAAACCGATATGAATAGTGCCAGCAGCCGAAACTCTACGTGCGCACATCGAGGCTGAGACGGGCCAGTCTATTTAGGCGCGTGATTATGGGGGTGATCAATTACATCATCATAGATAGCAGAAGCAGTCTTTTAAAATAAAGATTGACTTTTGATCTTAAATTAATCAAATTAATACCTGATATACGATGATTTGCCAGGTAGAGTGTTTCTTAGCAATTATAACACAAAGGGATTCCAAATGTTTCATGAAAATATTACAGAAAATGACAGTTCCTTATCTTGGCACCCCTACCTTCATTTGATGTCTAATCATCTGTACCCGTCTGACCACATATTATTTCCCGCCACTGGGAAATCCCTCCGATAAATTAACAGGTGCATGGCACCGTTATACGCAACAAAGTATTACAATATTAAATACTATTTCTTCTAATATTCAGTTTTACATATCTAGCTGAACTTATACGGTCCGCCAGAAAGGCACTTGTGATCGAGTCTCACGAGCTAAGAATCATGACTTAGTACCCGGTAATCCACCCTGACTTGGGTGTACAAGTTATTAATCTTGAGGTTTTCGGGAACAATGTTTTACCGATATTAAAATAAAAAAAATAACTGGGATGTTAAACTAGAAATGAAATTTCCGCCACGAACGCTTTTCATGATTCATGGGCGTGGGTTTGGTTTCTTTCTTTTTTTGTTATAAATAGGGTATAGTTTTCAACATCAGATTAATTTGATGCGTGTGTCCAAACAATTAAACTAAGATGCTTAATTTGAAAAAGGCAAAATATAAGACTGGTTACGAGAGTTTTGAATTATAATTAGGCCTACATGACTGCCCTCTGTCGGGAAGATTTTACCTTACGCTGTTGGACAAAAAAAAAACGGTACCACTGAGGTTGTTTTCACTGCCGGAAATTAGACTTTCAACATTTTTACCAGCGAACCGTGTCGACAAATCAAAGAAACGTGACAGACGAATAGGCCTAGTTTCTATACGCCTACGTTTTCATGTGGACGTATTTTGTCGTCTTAGGCAGAGGTGTGTGTGTGTGGGGGGGATGGGGGGTAGGGTCAGCTAGGTAAAGTGAAAACAAAAATTATTAGTTCATCTAGTTGGCAACATAAAATGCACGAAATATATGTAATAAAACACTAATTTTACATTTCTTTTAATTGATTACTACGAATTTGTACTGAATAGACTATGGATTAAAACATCTTGTGTCGAGCCATACTACTTTGTGCGACATTTTCGGGCATCGATTATCATTGGAAACTTTGAATTTACCGCGATTCCTGCCCCTGACCTGGATGCGACTGAGTGATTTTTGAGATTCAGGTCAACCACTGAAGGTAGGCCACATTGGACCATATTGAAGTTACTCTATTCATGCACTGGAATAGTAGTCAAACGCGTTTGCGGCCGTTAAATTTTCTTCTGACTTTCCCGTGTCCGTGGACTGTAATTGTCTGTAATCGATTGATAGGTTGATTGGAACCCTCGTCAGCCACCCAACTTTTATAGGCTATATAATGTTAGGCGAATTTGAAGGAAAACGCTTGCGGCCGTCAAATTTTCTTAGCGGGGGTGGGGGTGCGACTACACGAAGCTACGCTCCTTCGCCTGGGTCACTTCAGGCTCTGCCCCTGATGGCCTGGGGCCTGTTTCACGAAATTTTAACTAAGATAAAATCCAAATGTTAGTAATTTGATCGGATAATATTAGATTGGTTTTAGTGCTTAGCCAATCAAAATTGAAGTATCTACTAAAATTTGGATTTTATCTTTAGTTACGATTTCGAGAAACGGGATCTTAAAATATTTTCCACAAACATGAAGGCCGTTAAATTAACCCTCTCAGCCGACCGCTATATGGTGATTGGTTTATACCTGCCAGGATATGACTTTGTTAGAGTCTCTTGCCATTAGTTAAGGATACAACTATGCGTGTGAGCCCGATAAAATGTTTGGGTTTTGGGGTTGTAGCAGGGCTGGGGGTGGGGGAAAAGGGGCGCTGCTTACAACCATAAAAGATAATGCGTATTGATAAAAGATTTGAAGATATTTTGCGCGCTTCGTAATGTAAAGACGCTGTCCCAAATATGCCTTAAAAATTTATGCCCATTAAGATCACTGCAAGAGAGACGAAGACGATGAAATGAAATGAAATGAAATGAAATGGGGTTTAACGTCCTACTCCTACCTGGGCTAATGAAGACGGGCATACGCCATACAGTGTGCTATGAGGGAAATTTTGCCCGGACAGCGGCACTATCGCCTACTCTTATATCGAATTCCAACTGCCAAGGGATCTTTTACGTGCATTCCAATGTATACACAATGGACCTTGGTTTTTCGTATCATCCGAATGACTAGACAGCTGTCCTTGTCAGGCCCTCCGTCCTGCATCACTGACAAGGAGAAACCACGCCGGAAAATCTGGATGAACTTTCTCGGCCAATGCAGGGGTCGAACACCCGACATCCAGGTTAGCGAGCCAGCGCCTTACCCACTTAGCCAGGTGATCCCCAGACGAAAACGAATATGTAATATTTGATTGATACGTTTGCCAAAGGTGAAATAAGGGGGTATATTTTTATCTTTATCAATTTATTTAGTTTTAAATTTACTTATAGAGGTCGAATTTTTAATACTTATATCAAGGTTATTCCATTCTTTTATGGTAGAAGGTATAAAGGATTTAGAAAATAAAGTTGTTCGACAACAGTAATCAGTTAAATTATTGCTATTGCGAAGATTATAAGGAGTTTATAAGGTTGCTGTCAACTTGATGGCAATGCACCCCCCCCCCCCCCTCTAGAAAAAAAAGCAGCTGACTCTTAATTATCACTTTATCTTCCCTATAAATATGCGCACAAGAGTGGTGAAATAAATAATGATCGATGCCTGAAAACTTTCAATGCAGTCAAGGGATCGATGCGATTTGATGGATTCTGGTGTATAATCTTGGGTAACAAAAAATCATGTTGGTAGGCCTATGTGGCCATAAATCACTAAAGATTTGTCCACTGACTTGAATGTTAATTCTCGTCTCTTAGACCGACTCTAACTTTTTCCGGGGGGGGGGGGGCTGAATGGTTAGCACGTGCGCGCTTTATCATTAAGTCTGTCATTGAGTCAACTGGTGTGGTTTCGAATCCCCGGTTGTACGTAACAAGGAGTATGGTCGCCTGTCCAATTTCGTGGGTTTTCTCCGGGTCCTCCGGTTTCCTCCCACTGCCAAAGACCCCTACGTGCAAGCGAATTATGGAAATAAAATTGAACCGTATGTTAGTCCCAAAATGACCTATAGGTGTCGAGTGGACGTTAAACCCCATTTCTCCCTCCCTCCCTCTCTCTCTCTAACCTCTTGGCCAAAAGCACGTATGAGGTTCACCATGGACAACTTGAGATACACAAGCTGGAAGTAGAGAAAAGTAAACATGCAATTTTTGACCCTACCTCTCAACTCTTGTATCCTTCCGCCTCAAAACCACGAATATTCACCAAAACCGGGCAGAAAATGTATTTTCAAAACCTTTTCTTCGATTCGACACCAAAAAGTCAACTCAAATCGCCATGCAAAAGGGGGAAAAAGGGAAAGGGAGAAAAATAACTTTCGCCCTACATTCGGAATATTTGGAGAGCTGTGTCCATGTATCCTATTCACTTTTTTATTTGAAAAAAAGGAGTTGTTGCCCTTTAGTTACATGATCGTCGAGGGAGAGATGGGGGTTGTCATGGCCTGTTTGTCTAGAGTGTTGCGCTACTGCATAGACCGGGGCTCACCCTGCAAAACGGCCCTGGTTTGTAGTGGAAAACCAAAATTAATATGGACGTCGGGAGAGAAAATGATGGTGGTATGCTGTATGCATCCTATTTACTTTTTTTATTTTAAAAATGGAGTTGTTGCCCTTTAATTACATGACGTCCATTAAGTCTAGTACTTATGCATCATAGTCAAGGGAGGGATGGGGATTGTGGTGGCCTGTTTGTCTAGTGTGTCGCGCTACACCGGTTACCTCGGACTTGCGTTCGCGTGGTTTCGACCCCTAGAAGGCAAAGTAAAGGGTGTTTATTTACCCGATGAAATCTGATTGCCGTCTCGTACGCCCGAAGTTGGAAGGGAAAATAATGGTAGTGTTCACCCTATTCACCATTATTGCAATTTATTTGCATGACGTTTAGTGCATCCAGGATAGTCACGGGAGGCGGGGAGGGGGTCTACTGGTCTAGACTCAATCTGTTTCACAGAGAATTACGAGTGTAGCGGCCTAGCAAATAATCATCTGCCGATCAGTGTGGTCTAGACTGTCGCACTTCGAGCACTTGCTGGAAGGCCATCTCGGACTAACGGTCGTTATTTCGACCCCTTGTGTGGGCGTATGTGACTTGAAGATAGGGATATACCTTGTCAACCTCGTGGGTTTACTCCGGGGACTCCGCACCCCCCCCCCCCCCATTGGAAAACAAAGGACACTTGTCGGGGATATTCCAGCCTGTCTCCACCTAGTCCGTGGTGTTAGACAAAGTCCGAATTATTGCGTTAAATAGGCTACCATTCCTTTCCCCATGTACAGTCTGTACTACCAGTGTTACATTTATAACACGATTCAGGCCTAAATAACGCTTAAATCTAGCGTACACTGTCGATTCTATGCAACCGTTGAAGCAACGAGTAATATGTGCGTACAAGCAATTCAGACAGATCAGAAGCCTAGTTAAAGCGAGCCATCATTTTTGTAACATCACTTTACAGATTAAGCCAAGTGAAACCCTTCACATCCCTAATTAACGGTTTAATTAAAGATTTAGTTACACGAAATCCAAATCAACATTTTGATGGATCACACTTCTGTGGAATATAGGAACGCAGCATACGTTCAGTGCCTTAGATTGTAACTTTCAGATTTCCATTTAATATTTGGATAAATGAATGACGACTTATAACATATTATAACATACGTTCAGTGCCTTTATGGATGCCAAATCAAAACAGTATCAGTTGGTTCCACTTGATTTGGTTACAATACATTGCACCGAGTATGGAAGCTATATGTTCAAAAAATCAACAACACTTAATTAGTTATTTACTCTACACTATATTTAATGAAGAACAATCTATGGATGTGATATAATATAATATATTTAATGGATAAACAATCTATTGATGTGATTTAAATATTTCATAGACAACAATCTAAGGATATGGTAAAATAGAATTTATAGATGTGATATAATAGAATATATTTAATGGATACATGGATGTGGTTTAATAGAATATATTTAATGAATAAACAATTTATGGGTGTGGTGTAATAGAATATATAATTGTCTAACACTTTATGGATGTGGAAAGCAGTATAATTTATGCATGAACGTTCTTGGAATGTACAATACAACATATTCAATAATAACCATTTTCGAATATTTTTTTGATGATACAAAATATTAATAGTGAGGCTATTCTTTAGATACTGCAATAGTGAGGCTACATATTAATAGTGTAACTATTCTTTAGATTTATAATACAATATATTAATAGTTTAACTATTCGTAGATATATGATATGGTATCTTACAATTTTAGTGCGTCATTATAGCACTGTATGAAATGAAGACAGGCATATGCCATACAGTGTGCTATGAGGGCAATTTTGCATGGGTAACGGCGCTACGACATACTCTTAAAACGAATTCCAACTGCCGAGGGACCTTTTACGTGTACGCCAATGTGAACACGAAATCTCAGTTTTTTTTATACCATCCGAATGACTATACGTTGTCCCTTGCAGCACAATATGAATCGCTTGTAATAGGAATACATTGTAAAAGGAATATCAGCCCAATACTAGTTACATTCCGTTCAGTATTTACAAAGATATGTTGAATTAAAATTTCATCAATCTATACTGCTCGCTATGTAATAAAACAAGAAATACATTTTACATTAAGAAATGAAAGGGCTGATTAAATAAAACCCCTGATACTATATTTAGAGATGAAATATCTGGTTAAACAAAATACATGATAATATAGCGATAAATATAAAAATAGAGGAATGGCTGTTTGATAGAAATACATGTACATAATAATATTATACAGGAGATAAAATATACCGATGGGATATGACTGAAATGGAGAAATTTGTCTAACAGAGAACCTGACACAGAATGAGAGATTATATTTACTGATTAGTATATTGTTTTCGCTGATGTTTGGGTATTGGATCGCGTCAAAGGTCATACGAGCAGCTTTTGACCTTATGACGTCAGACATTTGATTAACCAATCAGCATTGATGTTACTAGGTGATACCACAGTTCCGTGCAAACACACCTAAAGCTCGCCGTAACAGACCGTTTCATCAGCTATGCCCTCACATCATTCAGAACACGTCAATGATAACAACTCTTCCAGATCCTAGTGTAGTAAAGACAAGTAAAACGAAATTTTAAACTATAAAAACGAAACGAAATAGGATCTGTTTTAATCAGATTGATATATTGTAATCTTTGCTCCTTTGAATATAAGGAACTTAATATTTTCTTGTTGTCGAATCTTTGTTTTAAAAGACCACAGTAAGGCTGTAATATTGTCATCGTCAGTTTTATTTACATCGTATCCCGCATCATTGACTAGCCATTTTACTGTATCTAATGTACCTAGATAACAACTATGATGTAGTGGATAATTACATTTACCAGTCACCCTCGTCTGTCATGCCATCTTCATAATTATGGTCGACATATTATAATCTTAGCACCTTTAGAGATAAGGAAATTAATCTTTTCCATCTGTTGAACCTTTGATAGGAAACAGCATAATAATGGTGTATAAATGCCTCCCGAACGCTGATTTATATCCAGCCCTATTTCATTCACGAGAAATTTAACAGTTTCAGTATTACCATCCCGACAACTAACATGCAGTAAACTATCATTATTATTATCTACAGTATGTAATCTTACCCCTTGTGATGACAAGAATCCGAGTTTACCGACAGGATTAATGTCAGACATACAACAGTGTATAGCCGGTGTCCAACCATTAGTGTCTTTATGGTGGACATCTAGTCCTATGTCATTCACCAGATATTCAACAGTTTCAATAGTACCAAAACAACAACTAACATGCAGTAAACCCATCTTATCATTATTTACTGTGTGCAGATTTGCCCCCTTTGATGACAGTAATTTGAGTTTACTGACAGGACTTATTTTAGACGTGGAACAGTCCATAGCTGACGTCCAACCTTCATTATCTTTATGATGGACATCCAGCCCTATTATATTCACCAGATATTCAACAGTTTCAATAATACCACGTAGACAACTAACATGCAGTAAACTCATATTATCATTATCTACAGCATGCAGATTTGCCCCTTTTAGGGTCAGAATTTTCAGTTTACCGACAGGACTTATGGATGAACAGGCACATGATATAGCCGGTGTTAAACCGTTATTGCCTTTTTGATGAACATCCAACCCTATTTCATCTACTAGATATTTAACAGTTTCAATAATACCCATAGCACCACTAGAAAGTAGTAAACTCATATCATTTTTATCTATAGCACGTAAGTTTGCCCCTTTTGATGACAGGAATTTGAGTTTACTGACAGGATTAAACTTAGACACACAACAATGCATAGCCGGTGTCCAACCATTATTGTCTTCATGATGGACATCTAGCTCTATTACATTAACTAGATATTCGACAGTTTCAATATTACCCTCTCCACAACTAAAATGCAGTAAACTCATATTATTGACAACTACATCACTTAAACTTACCCGCTTTGAAGTCAGAAATTGGAGTTTCTTGATAGGATTATCATTAGATAAAGAACTTTCTATAGCTGGTGTTATACCTATATTGTTTTTATGATGAACATCTAGCCTTACGTCATTTACTAGATATTCAACAGTTTCAATAGTACCCTCTCGACAACTAACGTGTAGTAAACTATTATTATTATTATTATCTACAGTATGTAAACTTACTCCTTTTGATGAGAGGAATTTAAGTTTACTGATAGGATTTATTTTAGATACAGAACAGCACATTGCCTGTGTGTTACCTTCATTCGTTTTATAATGGACATCCAGCCCTATGTCATTTACTAGATATTCAACAGTCTCGACAGTACCATCTAAACAACTAAAGTGAAGTAAACTCACATTATTGTTACCTACAACACGTAAATTTACCCCTTTTGACGACAGGAATTTGAGTTTACTGATAGGATTTATTTTAGATAAAGAACAGCACTTTGCCGGTGTGTAACCTTTATTGTCTTTATAATGGACATCCAGCCCTACGTCATTTACTAGATATTCAACAGTTTCAATAGTACCCTCTCGACAACTAACGTGCAGTAAACTGTTATTGTCGTTATCTACAGTATGTAAACTTACTCCTTTTGATGAGAGGAATTTAAGTTTACTGATAGGATTTATTTTAGATACAGAACAGCACATTGCCGATGTCCAACCATTATTGTCTTTATAATGGACATCCAGCCCTATGTCATTTATTAGATATTCAACAGTCTCGATAGTACTCCAAACACAACTAGCATGCAGTAAACTCTTATTATTGTTAACTACAACACGTACATTTACCCCTTTTGATGACAGGAATTTGAGTTTTTCGATAGGATTAATGCTAGATAGACAACAGAACATAACCGGTGTTAAACCTTCATTGTCTTCATAATTTATATCTAGCTCTATTTCATCAACTAGATATTTAACAGCTTCAAGAGTACCTTCTCTACCACTACGATGAAGTAAACTTCTATTATTATAATCTACAGCACGTAAACTTGCCCCTTTTGATGACAAGAATTTGAGTTTCTTGACAGGATTAATGTTAGAGGCAGAACAGAATACAAACGGTGTGTTACCATCATTGTCTTTATGGTGGACATCTAGCCCTATTTGATTTACTAGATATTCAACAGTTTCAAGTTCACCATATCCACAACTAATGTGAAGTAAACTACAGTTGTCATCATCCAAACCTGTAAACTACACCCCCTGGACAACAAGAACTCGAGTTTTTTAATAGGATCAATATCCGACATCACAGAATAACATACAGGAGTCCAACCAGTCTTGTCTTTTTGATTTATGTTTAATCCTATTTCATTCACTAAATAATGAACCGTGTCAATAGAACCACGTCTACAGCTATGGTGTAGAATACTACGGTTATTTTCATCTACTACATTAAAATCCATACCTTTATTGTTTAAAATTCTCATCTTATCAACAGATTCACAACATATGAATAAAATACTTTTATTAAAAAGATTGCTATCTGTTCCATATGGCAATATACGATCTAAGATAGTTGTTAACATGGAGTTATCCTGTAACTTTGTTGCTTCACCAATTATGGTCTGGGTATACTTGGGATCAAAAGATGTCATCTTGTTTATTAGTATTTCAAAACACTTTATGTCATCATTAGCTATTATTTCTAATAAAGGAATTCGATTGAGTTTATCAGCCTTATGTAAAAATGACCCAGCTTCGATTAACTGATTTAGAATCTGGGTTACATCGACATCAGTTCTACCGCCATAAGAGCTGCAAACAATATGAATAGGTAACCTGCCCATATCATCTTTGGCATTAACCTCCGCGTCTTGACTTATTAAAATAGACACAGTCTCTTTTTTGCCTCGCGCAACAGCCAGATGTAGTGGTGTACTACCACTGTCATCTCTAGCATTTACATCAAACGCCCTGTCTATCAGAAAATTGATTATTTGATGATTGTCGTGCTTTGAATCACACGCATTGTGAAGAATTGTTCTTGACTTATTATCACGCTTGCTTTTGTCGAAGTTTGTGAAATTACTGACATGGTTAACAATGTCAAATTTATCTGAGTAAACCACTAAATGTGGTAATGCCGATAAGTCTCCAATTTCCTTTTCATTTAAAAGATTCATTTTTTTGATAGGGTCATGAACCGAAACAGCAGCAAGGCCGATTATATCCCACCCCATATCCGTTTTTTCCTCAACTAATTGGGGTAGCTGATCATGAAAATAAAAGAGTGCTGCTTCGAGACATCTCATGTCTCCATGAAGTGTAATGTAATGAAGAAAATTGCCACTTTCCTGTACTTCACGAATATTTCCCAAATTGATAAATTTGGTATTGTGCAACAAATTGGCTATATCATTCCTACCAAGAAAATGTGATAAAAATGCACAGTCAATGAAAGCAGGATGGCTGATTATATCAGAATTCTTATGTAATTCTTTTAAAAAGCGCATTGAAAGCTCGTCGAAATAATCGTCATGTATTTTAATACACCGATCTACTTGGTGATTTGTTCTAACCACTGACATCAAAAGTTCAAAAGAACAGTATTGTAAAGCCATTTCCATGCATTCAACGGAAAGGTGGTGTAAAAATGGCACCCCAACAAAGTCTCGCAATGAAAATATGTTCATATAATGTTTGAGGAATGTATCTGAAAGTTCATTGAGATTACGCTTAGCGCCATTCAATTTAAATTCTGGGCATATTTCTTTAGTGACGGTCGAAATAAGAGACTTAACTCTCGCGGGACAATTTTGTTTAAGGTCTTTCTCTGAAACAGTATGTAAACAAAATACTAGTGCTAGTGTAGCATATATATATTTATTTTCGTTCCAAAACGTTTCTAATTCTAAAATAAGAAATTCATGCGAACTATCAAAAATCGCCGGTAATTTATCAGTCGTTAATTTGCTACACAAACTGGCAATCGATGGAAAACCGAAACAGTCAGTAATTTTGGAAATTATCTTATTAGATGATATTTCATAAAAATCTAAAAATTGTCCCCTTTCTTTAGTGTTTAAAGAGAATTCGCCTTTATGAAGAAATATTTTATTTGTTTTTTCAACATGTTCCACAAATAAATCATAATTCTCTAATTGATATTTAGAAGAAAGGTAAATATAATCTCTCATTACATAAATAATAACTAATTTGCCCCTTTCTTTATTAACCCGAAGAGTGCCAAAATGAGCAGGCCATTTATCAATACGTGCCTGTAATTTATTATATTTACCATACATGTCATCGATGATATAAAGATACTTATCATCTTCAAAGCTCACTTCTTTTAAATCATCCAAATCATTAATCAACAATGGTTTATATTCCGGACGTTCTTCAATGAATTGTTTGGCTATCATCATTGATAGCACAGTTTTACCATCACCAGCCGCCCCTACTATTCCTAGGATTTGATGATTCTTCAGTATCTTCAAACCTTCATAAAGGGCACGGGTCTCAACATATGTTTTATCTTTCACATAGTTAAGATTTTCAAGTGCTTCACCTGAAGACAAAAGGTAAGTTTATTGATATGAGCTACATATAAATCGCTAAAAAAAAAGAAAAACACCTTAACAACTTTGAAACACAATGTATTTAAGCTAGGCTTAAAAGTATGTCACATTATACATTTTAATTTGTGTGGGGTCTTTCAAACCTTTGTTCAATCTTGTACCTTTTCAATAATTATAGAAGTAATTGAAACTTTTGAACTAAAAATCATGAAGATATCAAACACCGGATATTTACATTTGCTGTATATACACGTCACACAAACAGTCTCAGTATAAACCATACCTTGTTGACTTTTTGCGAAGAAAAAGAACGGGCACAAACATATTTCTCTAGATATGGAACATTAATTAACTGTGTGTCCTAATTTATAGCCAAGAACAGCAAATATCAGGTTTTACCAAATCCAGAAAGAGACTAGCTAATGTTTGAACGGGCAAAATACCTAATGGTTCAACTTTCAACCAAAATGAAATTAAATGAGGTTTAACGTCATATTGGTCTACTGGGCTAATGGAGATGGGAATTCCAACTGCCAAGAGTTCTTGTCACGTGCACACCAATGCGTATACTAGACCTCGGTTTATCGTCTTATACGCACGACTATACATTGTCAATTCCCTCCCCCTCCTGCATCACTGAAAAGCAAGTGCAGATTTGAAATTGGCCCAATAAAAAATCAATGTCTTATTGAAAAACAATAACCGCTTCTTTCTTTAAAAGATTAGGTTGCCGAGCAGGATTTAAGCCTCATTTTATTCCATTAAACTCATTTCGGTCTTTCAATTTCTTTAAAAGCAGTACAGAATTGAGCTTTTCTGGGATACAAATAAGACATCATACCAAAAATACAATATTATTCATATAGAAATTCTTAGAATTGCCCGTTGATATCACTGTTAAATGTGACATTTAACTTATTGGGGATGGGGTGGGGTGTTTCGACATTTGCGAGGTCACAATGCTCATGTATCTAATTCATTTGTGTTATATCCTGATCCATCCGCCACATAATCATAAATATACAATAAAACCTAATAGAACCAGCGGCTGCCAGGCAGGATACGCCCACATTTTCGAGAGATGGATAGAGAACAAGCTAACAAGAAAGTGATTTTTCCTACTATCAAGGGCCATAATTCAGGAAATTACAATTCGATATGCGCATATATCGAAAGGAACTGAACGACTGGCAGCCATTTTGTCTGTCAATTTTGGGCCGATTTTCACGAAATTCGAACTCAATCGTCCTCAGGGTGTAACGGTGATATAATAATACGGTTTTTTAAATCGGATAAAAATTATGACCTCTATAAGATCCACAAGCTAAAAACGCAATTTTTCGTACAATCAGGGGCCATAATTCAGGAAATTACGGTCCGATATGCGCGAATATCGAAAGGAACCGAGATCTTTGGGTTATAGACTTACATTTCAAGTTTCAACAAAATCGGATAAAAATTGTGACCTCTATAGGGTCCACAACCTTGATATATCATTTTCTTACGCTATTTGAGAACGAACGATGGCCATTTTGTCTGTCAATTTTGGGCCGATTTTCACGAAATTCGAATTCAGTCGTCCCTAGGGTGTAACGGTGATATAATAGAACGTTTTTTTAAATCGGATAAAAATTATGACTTCTATAGGGTCCACAAGCTAAAAACGTGATTTTTCGTACAATCAGGGGCCATAATTCAGGAAGTTACGGTCCGATATGCACGAATATGGAAAGGAACCGAGATCTTTGGGTTATAAACTTACATTTCAAGTTTCAACAAAATCGGATAAAAATTGTGACCCCTATAGGGTCCACAACCTTGATATACCATATTCTTACGCTATTTGGGAACGAACGGCGGCATTTAGTCTGTCAATTTTGGGCCGATTTTCACGAAATTCGAACTCAGTCATCCTTAGGGTGTAACGGGGATATAATAGAATGTTTTTTTAAATCGGATAAAAATCATGACTTCTATAGGGTCCACAAGCTAAAAACGTGATTTTTCGTACAATCAGGGGCCATAATTCAGGAAGTTACTGTCCGATATGCGCAAATATCGAAAGGAACTGAGATCTTTGGGTTATAAACTTACATTTCAAGTTTCAACAAAATCGGATAAAAATTGTGACCTCTATAGGGTCCACAAGCTAAAAACGTGATTTTTCGTACAAACAGGGGCCATAATCCATGAAGTTTCGATCCGATACATGCCAATATCGAAAGCAGCCGAGATCTTTTGGGGATAAACCTATATTTTAAGTTTCGTCGAAATCGGATAAGAATTGTGACATGTAGAGAGTCCACAAACAATTGTGGACGAACGGACGGACGGACAGGGGCGACGGCATAATACGTCCACATGAAAATGTGGGCGTATAAAAAGCAGAAACAAACGATATTGTACGATTCATAACCATAAAGTCAATAGCAATTACCATGAAGTAGGTGAGGGAGCGAGTAAGAATGGGTGACTTGCTATAAATTCACGAAATCTTAGCCTATACGGAGACAGACAACCAAATATTTGTTGTATACGTCACTACCTTCCTTGTAGATAGTGCATATCTGTCTCATCATTCCGTATGAAGTCCAGTAATAAACACCTGACATGATCAACTACTGTCTTCATAGTCATCATTATAACAAATTTCACATAGAATATATTGAAATCTAAACTCTACCTTTCATTGTCCTCAATCTGTGACTGTCTATACTCCTTTTACCTGAAATACGTGTAAATATAGAACAATAACCACTCCCATTTGGCAACCAATTACACCTTATAGGTCAACTTATAATTTAATATTAAAATTTCAAAGTTGTACGAGGGACAATGCAATACACACTAGATTGCACTGACTGGACCCAAGATCTGGTCATAAACTAAATAATAGGAAAATATGATTTACTTACCTAATAAATCAATGTTACCTTTACGGAATTCATCCAATCCAGACTTCAGTTCCTGTTAATATAAAACAATTATATCAATTCCAGATGTTGTTTGAGGAGGAACAACACAGCTAAACGTTCCAACATCAATTAAATGCAAATGTGTCATGGCATCAGGTGTTCCAAAGATTGGTTGCCATTCAATGAAACATACGCTTACAGCATCTAAGTCAAACAAGTCCAATAACCCCGAAAGTATATTGGCGTCTTCGTCCCTCGAATATAATTTCTCGCACAATTTAAAAAGCAATTGAAAAATAACTTTAGTATCTTGTGAGTGCATAAAAAGACTTGGCGACAACGACGAACACTTCTGTATAATGTCAAGTTTACTTGTTATTTGTATGGATTTATTGGAGATAATTTTGAAATCATAATTTCTGACTACATTGGACTTCGACTATCAAATGTTTATTAAACATACATTATACAAGAGCTAAATCTGCCTGAAATGTTTAAAATATTATTAATTAGACATTAATTAACTCATCCAGGCAATAATCAACTGTCGATGGCATCAGATTTCTCCAATATTAAATAGATTAGAACAGTTCAGCCATATTTAGTTTTAAGCTAAAAATGGAGGAGCGAGACTTAGCTTCGAACAACCAGTACGGTGGTTGAAATTATTGCACACGTCTTGTCAAACCTTCAAAAGGCTAATATCTTCGCTCCCAATAGAGTAATTTGAATTAAATTTTCAAATTATTCATTTTACATTATCTATTTTCGAACGGCTATTAGAGTTAGAACGGCTAGCTCTTTATCTAAATCTTTCATTTTGAGTGAAGCCTGTACCATAACAGACCCGGGACTGTACAGCACAGTGGACGTTTACGGCTTGCCCCGAAATCCATTCACTTGATTTGATATTTGTTTATTTGGTGCATTGTCTATTTTCTGTCTTGTCCGTAGGCTTATCTTGTAGATTTTTGTTTTGCGTGTAATGCGGTCCTCTAGCACTTACTAATGTATCTTTAAATACGATTGACATGTCTGATGGATATTCAATATGTTGTAGAACAGTCCAGGATTTAGGATACAACCGATGAGGTGAGAATTTCAAGAATAAGATAAAAATATTAATTCTATACGTACCTGTAATCCTGCCAATAATTCGTCATATGTAGTAATACCTGGTTCGTTATCTCGATGGCCTTTATAATCTAATAACAAAGAGTGTAATAGATTACTTTATATTTTGTGAGAATAATACCAGCAATAACAATACAAGTAAATCAACCGATTATAATAATTTACTTTGTATTTTGTGAGAATAATACCAGCAATAAGAATACAAGTAAAATAACCGATTGTAATAATTTACTTTGTATTTTGTGAGAATAATACCAGCAATAAGAATACAAGTAAAATAACCGATTATAATAATTTACTTTGTATTTTGTGAGAATAATACCAGCAATAAGAATACAAGTAAAATAACCGATTATAATAATTTAATTTATATTTTGTGAGAATAAAACCAGCAATAAGAATACAAGTAAACCAAAGGGTGTTGGATGCTAATATGTCACACGTCCACACATACGGATCGACATGGGCAGTCAAATAGAGGTATTTTGTAACAGGGGCATAGTGACCCATGACTTTGTATGAGGAACAAGATCCCGTTCGGGCCCCAAGAAAACGACATTGATATGTGTGTGCGGGGGGGGGGGGGCTCCCAGTGCCACCGGGTAATACTGGGTTGTGTGGAACATGTTTTCTTTTTCGGGTAACCCGACCAACCCATCACAAAACCTACCGACTTTTTATGTTTGTTAGTGTCAAGAGAAATAAAACCAGCGGTTCCCAGGCAAGATGCGCCCACAGTTTGCAAGAGATGGATAAAGAGCAAGCTTATAAAAAAGCGGCTTTTCGTACAATCAGGGGCCATAATCCAGACCGTGATGGTCTGAAATGTGCGAATATCGAAAGGGACTGAGGTATTTGTGATATAAAGATATAATTTAAGTTTTATCAAAATCGGATATAAAATGTGACTTCTAGAAGGTTCACAACCAGTGATGGGATTTTGTCCGTATATTCCGGACATGTCCGACGCTATTTTCCAAACGCCCTAAATTGTTCGACCAGGAATATGCCCAATCGGACATCAAGACATGGTAAATAATATTCAAAATTCCAAAATTAATATAGTGTACTGAGTGCATAACTACCACTCAACCCGATTATCGTTGATAATAGGCTGGATTGATTAGGTAATTAAGTGATCAACGTATTTATCGTTTTATGCCGCCTATACACCTACCTTGATTTACTACTTAATCTACCTTGATTGGCTGACTTAATTCTTTGTTGGACAATTCATCAATTCAATCCTGAACAGAAGTCATTGCTTCTCCTTCGTCGAACTATACTATTCAAAAAAAGTAGGGGATATTTGATTTTGGGGGCATAATACTAAAATATGCAAATGACTACGAAAAAGGTCACTATAGAACCTAACAGAAGAAACATTTGCAGTTACATGTGACGCCCAAACGCACCAATAGCTACCGCATGGAATGCAGGTGATGCTTGGGATCATCATGGGGGTCCAACCCAAGATTTGCACTACTCTGACTTTGCATGCTACAGATCGGCACAACACAGGCGGTTGTGGCGCGGACGATGAATGTTTCTCAGTCTGTCATAAGCAGGCTATGGTCCAGATACCGTGATACACAATCTGTACAGGACAGACCACGCTCAGGTCGACCAAGGGCGACAACTCAAGCCCAGGATCGATTTATCCGTACCTTGGCCTTGAGAAATCGTGTCATCACAGCAAATCAGATCAGCGCTCGTCTTCAAACAGACACTGGTGTGAGAGTGAGTGGCCAGACGATTCGGAATCGACTGCATAGGGGTCACCTTCGCGCCCGACGTCCTCGCGTGATCCCTTGTTTGAGAGATCATCACATTCAGGCAAGACGTCACTGGTGTAGGGATCGTCAACACTGGGATAATCGACGCTGGAGCAATGTGATGTTTTCAGATGAGTCAAGGTTCACTGTTGATTTTTTGGACAGACGTAGGAGGGTGTGGCGTCGTCGAAACGAGCGCTTCCAAGACGTTAACGTCATCAGACATGATCGATTTGGGGATGGTTCTGTTATGGTGTGGGGAGGCATCACTGTTGCTGGAAGAACGGCTTTACATGTTGTTGCATGGCGTGTTACAGGCCAGTACTACCGGGACAACATCTTGGCAGTCCATGTTGTGCCGTTCGCACGACGTCATGGCCGCCGTTTCATCTTCCAGGATGACAACGCAAGATGTCACAGGGCCAGGATCGTTACAGGTTACCTCCAACAACAGAACATCACCACATTACCTTGGCCAGCACTGAGTCCCGACCTCTCCCCCATCGAGCATGTCTGGGACATGCTTGGACAGAGGTTACGTCAACAACGTCCTGCCAATGTCCAAGAACTTGCTGCTGCGTTGCAACAGGAATGGGACAATCTGGACCAAAATGACCTTAGACGTCTCATTAGGAGTATGCCACGTCGGATCAATGCTTGTTTGGCAAACAGAGGAGGATTTACCCGTTACTGACTTGGTTGTGATGCTGTGGTAACTTTGCTGTTTGACCCCGGGCATCATTTTACCCTTATAATGGTCAGTCTGTGCCTTACTTAGTCTAACGATCATTTGGAATAAATCGATGAATGTGAACTTCATTTCATTTTGTCATTTGTTTCTTCGTCAGTTTCATTAGGTGACTTTAATAACACTTAAAAATCAAATATCCCCTACTTATTTTGAATAGTATATATATCAATCCAATCTACGTGATTAACCATTGTCTCACGTTTTAATCTGCTTGATGTCGGACGTAGACATTAGTCATAGATGTCACATATCCTAATAGTATATAACACCGCAAATCAATATACATTGTGTCCGATAACTTGTCTGTGATATTTCTTAGTGGAAGCCGAAGTTAAATAAAGCTATTTCACACACACACGCAAAATGAAAGTAGAAATCTTGCGAGACACGTGGAATTAAGAGGTGTAAACGTGCCGAATGTAATACGTCTGATGTCGGGAGAAAAGATTCTATTTTGATGGCATATTGTCGGATTTATGATCATATTTTGAATGGGGTTTATGTTCACGAAATTCGAACTCAACCGACATTACGGTGTTGTTGTGATACAGTCGAACGATTGTTTAAATCGGATAATAATTGTGACATCTAGAGGGACCACAACCTACAAACGCGATTTTTCGTACAGAGAGAGAGAGAGAAATGGGGTTTAACGTCCACGTCCACTAGGTCATTTCGGGACTAACATATGGTTTAATTTTATTTCAATAATTCGCTTGCGCGTGGGGGTCTTTAGCAGTGGGAGGAAACCGGAGGACCCAGAGAAAACCCACGAGGTTGGACAGGTGACCCTACTCCTTGTCACGTAATTTTTCGTACAATCAGGGATCATAATTCAAGAAGTTATGATCCGATATGCGCACATATCAAAAGGAACCTAGCTAGATCTTTGGGTTATAAACATGCATTTCAAGTTTCATCAAAATCAGATCAAAATTGTGACCTTTTGAGTGTTCACAAGATAAAAACGTGAATTTTCGTAAAACAGGGGCCATGATCCATGAAGTTTTGATCTGATACATGCCAATATCGCCAGGAACCGAGATCTTTAGGAGATAAACCTTTATTTCAACTTTCGTTAAAATCGGATAAGAATTGTGACATGTAGAGTGTCCAGAAAACAAATTGTTGACGGACGGAAGGACAGGGTCGACAACAATATACGTCCACATGAAAATGTGGGCGTATAAAAATTATTTCATATCTGCCTGGTATTATACAGACGGAAACTAACCTGGTTCGAGCTTAAATACAGCATTATAATATTGATTGTCATATAGAGCAGCTATAAATTTATCATAACCAGTGTGACCACACCCTAAAACTATGTTCAGTATTTTCTTAGCGGCGACTTTTTTACTATCCTTCTTTGCCTTCTCTACTTCCTCCATATCATCCTCATTGAAGGCATGTTTTTCAAATAAAGAATCTGCTACACATATTGGATTATATTTTATGTGATCGATAAGAAATACGAAATTATCTTGAATCTTGTTATATTGTTCATCTGGAAGTCTTCCTCGAGTACTTCCGCCACCTGACGCCATTTTGTTAGAGTCTATTTACCGCTATACAATTGTTCTCTCAACATATATAAATTTAGTTTGACTTTTCCGTTTTCTTCCTCTTTCGTTTCATTTTGTACCTAGAAAACATTACAAAATAAAAAATAAATAAAATACAAAATAATATAAAATTTCTAAAATTGAATGTCGATATTTTCCCACTTTATGGAAGAATCAACGAAGAATTTGGTGAATATTCATGATAGATTAATAGATTTAAGATTTTGGTTACGTTGAAATGTTGAATGGTGGATAGTTACATGTTTTGTATGGCATTTATGTTGACCTCTCGATCTATTATCGAAGAAGACTGATTGAATTTACAATTTGTGTCAGGTTTTGGTGAATATTCATGGATTAGATGATGAGTAAGTTACTAGACATGCATTGATGAAATAGCCTACTAAAATGACGTTACTTCCTATAGATGTCTTTGACCAAGCCTAGTGAGTTATGTAATCCATGTGACATTAAACGCGAGACATAAACTGATTATTGGGACAAAGCATTTGAACGTCAACAATTTACAGTTTGTTAGTCATGTGGAATCCCCAAACGAGAAGATGTATCGAGTGTTAGTCTGGTGGATCCACCACAGAACCTTGTTTTGTTTGAATAATTTTTTCTTGGCGGAGGACTCGGAGAAAACCCACGAGGTTGAACTAGCGACACTATTCATTGTCCCGAAGCCACGCCACTTGAATCAATGACAGATCTTATGATCTAAAGCGTACGCGTTAAACCATCCAATAGCCCCCCGTACACTATTCTAAGTAAAGTTGCGGTCATGGACCAGGAAGGAGCCCCGTCAGCTACACTAATTGGATCGCCTGTTTTGCAGGTTCTCTCTCTCCGGAATCGAACCCGATTCCCCGTTAAGCGTCAACAACGTGGAAGGTAAGTCGCCAATTGACAGAACAGACACTTCGTGGTAAAGCAGTCTTGGGTCCCGGAAAGACACCGTTATCAGCACAGTTGGGTGGGGGACCACGGTGCATGGCATGTATTATCTCTTTATTTACCACATCCATTAGAACAACCCATTTTTCATCAAGAAACCTTATCTGACTAAAGAGCCGTTCTCAGTTTTGGCTTGCTCATGAAAGAAACGTGCCCGAACTTAAACTTGCATGTCTGAAGCACTAGCTAGGATCAACCATATAGCTTTCACGAGTTGAGAGATAGCACCACGAGTAACCGCCCCAGTCGCAGACCCCTCCGTCTGCAAACTCAAGAGAGATCAGGACCCGAACAGCGGGGACGACCGAGAAGGAGAATAGTAGCCAGGACTGACCACACACGTAAAGTCGAGATGGGCGACATGCGAGAGACAAGCTCGAGCGGTGTCGTGTAGATGGTAATCGATGGGCGCTGATTTAGCTCATGTTCCGCAAAAAGGGTCGTTTACGGTACATATACCAAAAGCTTATGGCAGTATACTAGACTCAAAATTCTAACATGCTATCGTCTAATTTCTAACTTCTATTCATGTAATTTCTAACTTCAATTCATGTAATTTCTAAATTAAGACAATGTATAATCCAACTACTTTTTTTGTTCAGTGTAAATTTTAATTCTGTTTCATCTTATTTCTATTATTAAGACGAAAAATGTCTACTTTGTTGTCGCTTTACATGTTAAGCATGAAAGTCAAACAAATTTAGAATTTTGATACTTCTACTTAGCAACCATCATTATGACGTCGTTTGGTGTCGCCACCGTGTGATCGGGACCATTATGTTGATACCAACGACTTGCTCTTCGTCAGGTTGAATGGTTTAGCGGAGTGTTGAAAATGAAAACAACATCGATCGTGACATGAAATGAAATGGGGTTGAACCTCCTACTGTTCTGCTCCGAACTGGGCTAATGAAGACGGGCATACGCCATACAGTGTACTATGAGGGAAATTTTGCACGGACAGCGGCACTACGGCCTACTCTTATATCGAATTCCAACTGTCAAGGGATCTTTTACTTGCACACCAATGTGTACACGGGACCTCGGTTTTTCGTCCCATCCGAACGATTAGACAGCTGTCCTTGTCAGGCAACACCAAACAACGACATAATGATGGTTGCTAAGTAGAAGTATCAAAATCCTAAATTTTTGTTTGACTTTCATGCTTAACATGTAAAGCGACAACAAAGTAGACATTTTTCGTCTTAATAATAGAAATAAGATGAAACAGAATTATATACTCAGCCAAATTAAAAACTTGACACTGATGAATTTCAACAATTTTTTTTTTCTGGTAAGTCAAATAAATTTTAAAGTGTTTCTAACGATAGTAAGTAGTAAGAAGCCTTTAATTTCATAAAATCTTAAAGTCACTTGGATCACGTGACTTTTGAGCATATAAAGATGAAAAACCTGAAAAACACGTGCAAACACAAACTCGTGAGGTCAATCGATGCAAGTTTGCTTAAACTGAACACGCACACGTAACTTGAACTGGAAAAACAAATTAAAATTGTTATTTTCACCTTTGTTAGAAAATGTCGTGCCTTTCAAATGTAGAACGTCTACGTGCTATAGGTAGGCTCTATGCTGGTCAGTCTGTGGTCACTGTTGCAAGAGCCTTTAATTGTTCACGCCAGACAATAATTAATCTTAGAATGAGAGTGCTTCAAACTGGAACTATTGCCGACTGCCCAAGGGCGGGAGCGCCACGTGTGACGTCACTCCAGGAAGATCAAGCAATACGATTACGTCATCTTAGAAACAGATTTGTCACTGCAACCTCCACAAGTAGAGAGATGTTTGGTGGAAGGGTAACTGCACAAACTGTTCGAAATCGCTTGCAGGCTGCTGGTCTTCGAGCTCGGAGGTCCTATAATGGACCAATATTGACACCTCTTCATCGCCGTAACCGACTTGTGTGGGCCACAAGACACATGAGATTTACTCAAAGACAGTGGAATTCGGTTGTCTTTAGTGACGAATCTCGATTCACTTTGAGATTTGCCGATGGCAGGGCCCGAGTGTACCGCAGACGAGGTGAACGTTACGCTCATGTATGCGTCAGAGAAGTTGACCGATTTGGTGGCGGCAGCGTCAGGGTTTGGGGTTCTTTTTGTGCACATGGACGTTCTCCTCTTGTTATTGTCCAAGGGAACTTAAATGCTGTCCAGTACAGGGATCAGATTTTGCAACCTGTTCTTCTTCCGTATAAGCAGAGACATGGGCCTGGACTAACGTTTCAACTAGACAATGCTCAACCCCATACAACAATTGCTACCAAGAATTTTTTAAGAAATGCCGGTGTCCAACTCCTGGATTGGCCGTCGCTTAGCCCTGACCTTAATCCTATTGAACACATCTGGGGCGAACTGGGTCGACGTGTTCGTCAGCAAGTGAATCCACCACTGACGTTGCAGGACATTCAACATGCTCTTGCTGAGCAGTAGCGACGTCTTCCTCGGGTAGTGTTTACTAATGTTCTGAGATCCATGAGAAGACGTTGTGTGGCAGTACGAGACGCTAGAGGAGGCCACAACCGTTACTAAACACTTTATTCCGATTGTTCTCCAAGTCTGTGAATTTCATTTTGGGGGGTACTGTGACATCACGAACGTTATCAATGTCAAGGACTTTCGGCGAGACGTATTCTTGCTTTCTGTTGATGTCAAGGTCGTCTGTGCACAACATAACACTAAAATAGTTGCCTTAAACCAAATATTAAAAATCTAGTCCCAAAAATCCTGAGTGTTAATTTTTTAATTTGGCTGAGTATACATTGGCTTAGTTGGATTATACATTGTCTTAATTTAGAAATTACATGAATAGAAATTAGAAATTACATGAATAGAAGTTAGAAATTAGACGATAGCATGTTAGAATTTTGCGTCTAATATACTGCCATAAAAGCTTTGGTAAACGTTTATTTCTGTAGGCTCTACGGTGCATAGTTTATGAGGTATTCGACATCTGTGGCAATATCAATGTAAAAAGACCTGTGACAATTTGACTTTGCGGATTCTTTCCAGTTTACGTTGGTTTAAGTTCTAATGGAATTAAAAATACTTACCTCGGAAACAGAGATTGTACTGCACAGGTAAATGTAATTGTATTCTATTTATTATTGTAGCCAAAAAAGGAAATTTCTTGGATTTTGATTGGTCGAAAAATGTGGCGTCGAATGAGTATAACAGTCCTCTAAATTTCCTGGGCGACTCACTGCGAATGAATATTTTCTGTGTGCTAGACTCTGTTTGCAGTGGCCAAAAATTCTACACCTTAAAACTTTATTCTAGGAAATCTTCATGAATTTTTTCTTGTATGTCATCAACAATGAAATTCAACCATTGGCTTATTGAAACACACACCTGAAACACAAAAAACAAAGATAGTGAGTGTATTTGAAACATAATGGGTAAATTTCATTTCAAGGCTGGTCTGACCATAATGGTTGCTATGGTCATTCTATCATAATCTGGTCAAAATCGAAGATTTTCAACAAGTCAATAAAAATACTACAATTTATTGAACTCCGTATGGACCGTAAATAACCGATTGGGATATGTTTTAAAAAATATACAAGTCGGGCTGAAACTGATATGAATAGGACAGAGACTAATTTTCATTAGGGTTGTCACGATTAATCGGTTTAGTCGTAGTCGATTCGGTTTCTAGCTCAAACCGTTTCACATTTTGAAAAATCGGTAGTCATTTCATCCAATTTATATTTATACAATTACATATAATGTTTGACTTTTACTGTCTGCTAAACACACTACTAAATTGCTGCCTATTAAAACCGTATAGAAAGTAGGGCCCTACGTAAGTACGCCGTTTGAGACTCTATACAGAAATTCCCATTTACAGTGGCACGATCTCAATGTCGCATGGAATTCTTTGCCTACCATATTAGGCATATCTTACTACGAAATGTGCAAAATGGTTGATTTTGGCGCGAAATAGCTGTCAACAACGGACATGATAATCATGTGCATTATAATACATGGACTGAATGCATTTTTGGGTTGACTTTTTGGTCTAGAATAGGAGAAAAGGGATCAAATTTGCAATTTTATAGCAGTTTTGGGTAATACTGGTGATATTACAGCGGAGGGATAGGTGTGTAAAATGTCTTTCTGCGGAGCAATTATTGTATCGGAAGTGAGATTTTCACCCCAGTCAACTTCAAATCCCCGTAGCAAAAAATCTAAACGGTCAACCCTCTACAAATTTATGCTGAGGAGATTGCCAAATGTGGGCCCCCATGGTGCCTATAAAGATTGGAACCAACGGAATGTTGAGCAAAAAGCTACAACCTGTGATGTTACACCCATTTAACATTGAAGTCAATGGGCAAATAATTACTAGTCTGAGTCCACATCAGAATAGTTATTTCCCCTTATTTCATGATGTAGACAATTTTTCCCTTAATTTATTTTCTCCCCTCTTCCTGCATTTTTTGATTGACTTTTTGGTCTAGAATTGGAGAAAAGGGATCAAATTTGCAATTTTGGGTACTACTGATGATATTACAGCGGAGGGATAGGGTGTAAAGTGTCTTTCTGCAGAGCAATCATTGTGTCGGAAGTGAGATTTTCACCCCAGTCAACATCAAATCCCCGTAGCAAAATATCTAAACGGTCAACCCTCTACAAATTTATGATGAGGAGATTGCCAAATGTGGTTCCCATTGTGCCTATAAAGATTGGAACCAACGGAATGTTCAGCAACAAGCTACAACCTGTGATGTTACAGCCATTTAACATTGAAATCAATGGGCAAATAATGTCAGAGACACGCGCTCTACATAAACAATTGATATTGTATTCAATAGAGTTTAAAAGAACTGTTTTTAAATAATACAGGCATGTATTCTGATATCTTTTAATCTGGATGTAGAACAACGGTGACTCACGTAAAAATTAAAATAGTACGAAAATAACACGAAGCCAATCTCTATGGAAACGTTAGATTTTGCTTAATGGGGAAATTCAAATAGATGTGATATTGTACCGCTAAGAAGTTTCCCCTTGGTATAGTAATGTACGGTATTGGGTTCCGTCGGTAGACAAAAGATGACCTAGGCCGTCCTAGGGTCCCGCCCCTTCCCCTCAATGCATACGTAACCATGGCGTTAAATTCTTTCTGTAACCTAATCATGATAGACAAGGGGTCCTAATCATTCTTCTGGCTGTAGACCCGCAGTTCCAAATCCTACTCGTCTCGTCTTCTCTTTTTGGTCAAAAGTTCGATTTTACACTTTTACTCGTAAGAAATATAAAATTCATATCCAAAGCGAAAACATAAGAAAATAATCATGAGTCCTATGTTTTAACAAAATGGATCTACTTTAAAAAAATTGGAATTGAAAAAAAAAACATTGTTTAAAAATCCAGAATCCGCAAATTTACCCCATTGGTGGACGAAATTCACCCCGGGTGAATATAACCAAGCCGTTGCCAATCACTTCCAGGTCAATGTTCGGACCATCTACAGGCTTCAGCAACGCTTTCGGGACACGGATGATCGCCTCCGAACTGGTAGACTGAGGTTTACAAAAAGGCGACATGACCGCCAGGTTGTGCGACAGTACGTACAAAATCCTTTCACACAAGCATTTGAGACAGCACGTCAGACAGCGGGAACGCACGGAAGACCCATGGTTAAGGAGAGACTGAGACGAGCGGAGAGGAGAGACCCGAGTTCAGCCGCTGCCTTGTCAGAGGAGCGGAATCGTTGACTTAATATATTGATTACATGATGTGAAATGAAATTGGGTTTAACGTCTTACCGTTCTGCTCTGACTGGGCTAATGAAGACGGACATACGGCATATACAGTGTGCTATTAGGGAAATTTTGCCCGGGCAGCGGCACTATGGCCTACTCTTATATCCAGTTCCAACTGCCAAGGGATCTTTTACGTGCACCCCAATGTACACGCGAGACCTAAGTTTGACACTCTCAACTGCGTCATTTTAGCACCATATGAAAGACATGCCAGTTTGTTTCTCTATCTGTAGTGAAAAGCATTCAGCCCGACGAGAATTTGACAAAAAGGTAGGAGTGGGGCAAAGAGACAGAATGAACATTGAAGTCAATGGGGAAATTAATGGTGGTCTACATTCTAATCATATTAAAGGAGTTGCCACCCTTTAATTCCATTACGTCCAGCACAAATGCAGGATAATCACATGAAATGAAATGAAATGAAATGGGGTTTAACGTCCTACTGTTCTGCTCCTAACCTGGGCTAATGAAGACGGGCATACGCCATACAGTGCGCTATGAGGGAAATTTTGCCCGGACAGCGGCACTACGGCCTACTCTTATATCGAATTCCAACTGCCAAGGGATCTTTTACGTGCACGCCAATGTGTACACGGGACCTCGGTTTTTCGTCCCATCCGAACGACTAGACAGCTTTCCTTGTCAGCCCCTCCGTCCTGCATCACTGACAAGGGAGAACCACGCCGGAAAATCTTGATGAACTTTCTCGGCCAATGCAGGGATCGAACACCCAGGATAATCACGGGGCCGTCCTTTTCACGAACAGCAATTTAGGAATAGACTATTAATAAATTCCAAATGCGCTACGTAGATGCCGCCGAAGAGGCCTATGTTATTTATACTTGGAGATAGCTTGTAATGTACGCAAAGGTGTAACTGGAAACACCACTCTTCCATCAAAAACCACCCCTGGTATTGCCAATGTACTCGTATGTTGGCCCAAAAACACATCCGAATTATCGCGATGTTAGGCGTTAAGTACCATTTCTTTCCTCCAACCTAATGGATTTTCTCCGGGTCCTCCGGTTTCCCCCACTGCTAAAGACCACTGCGCGAGTGGACGTTACCTCCCCTTCCCACCCACCCCTCTCTCTCTTACAGATTGACTAAAAACATAACCCGTGTGGGCTAGATTTAGTGACACGAGAATCAAATCGATGTGTTGAGGAATATGAGAACGCAGCTTACGTTCGGGATAAATGGATGCCGACTTATAATAGTTTCAGTTGGGCCGACCTTTTTTGGATGCAGTACATTACACTGAGAATTAATTATACCAGGAAGATGCCAAATCAAGAAAGGTCCGGATTCTAGATAGGTAGCGATATTTTCAAAAACCTAACAACAATTAATTACTCATCTAATCTAGAATATATTTAATGAAAAAAAACAATCTATGTATCTAATATAATAGAATTTATTTAATGGATAAACAATCTATGGATACGGTATAATATATTTAATGTATAAACAATCTATTGACGTGGTATAATACATTTAATGCATACACAATCTATGGATGTGATATAACAAAATATGTTTAATGAAAACCAATCAATGGATGTGATATAATATAATATATTTAATGTATAAACAATCTATGGATGTGGTATAATAGGATATATTTAATGGATAAACAATCTATGGTTGTGATATAAAAGAATTTATTTAATTGTCAAACAATCTATGGATGTGAATGTAAGTTCTTGTAATGTACAATACGACATAGTTAATTATGACCATTTTCGAACTTTTTTTTTTATGATACAAAATACAGTATTAATAGTGAGGCTATTCTTCAGATATATAATATATAATATATTAATACTGTAACTATTCTTAGACATAATATGATATAACATATTAAAGTCCCATTGCGTTATTTTACCATAATATGAAATGAACAGAAACGGAATTTAACGTCTTACTGTTCTGCACTGACTGAGCTTTTTATTATGAAGACGAGCATACGCCATACAGTTTGCTATGAAGAAAATTTTGCCCGGGCAGTGGCGGTACATCCTACCTACTCTTATATCCATCTGCAAAGGATCTTTTACGTGCACGCCAATGTGTATATGGGACCTCGGTTTTTCGTCTCATCAGAACGACTACACGTTGTCCCTTGAAGCACAATATGAATCCCTACTGTATTGTGAAAGACGAATCTCTAACAACAATATTTGTTCAATAATGGTTAAATTCCGTTCAGTATTTACAAAGATATGTTGAATTGAAATTTCATCAATCTATGCTGCTCGCTATGTAATAAAACAAGAAATACATTGTACATAAGGTGTGTCCTCACTGTGCCCACTTTTGATTAATCCAATTAAGGTCTAATTAGGATTAGTGGATTAAGCGGATAAGGATTAGGTGTTATAGGTAATTAGATGGAAAAAACCCAAATATTTTATGTAATTTTTTTTTATTTTTCGATGTTTTATATATATTTAATAAAAATATAACATACATGGATATATCATACATCACATTTGGTAATAAAGCCTTGGTGGGTGTTCAGGGTTGCTGGACAACCTTTTATACAACATCTCCAGTATACTCGTTCTGCCTTCCTATTCTTCACTCGGAATTTGTATTCTTCATGGACTAAGTTTTCTCCACCTTGAGCATTGGGGATGTACTGGATGTTTACTTGGACGTTTGCCATGATGAAATATGACAGACTGACTTCTGTGTGTCCTTATAAAGACCGTGTAATGTGTAGGCTTACTGAACATAATTCATATTATATTCAAGTGTCATTTTTTGAATAAAATTCATCACTTTAACGATTACAGTGAGTTCATCTCACCAATTATAAGACTGAATATTTATTCACTTTCAAAATTTGTTTTTTTCCATCTAATTACCTATAACACCTAATCCTAATCCGCTTAATACACTAATCCTAATTAGTCCTTAATTGGATTAATCAAAAGTGGGCACAGTGAGATGTAACCGTACATAATACATTAAGACATGAAAGGGCTGATTAAATAAAACCCATGATACTATATTAGGAGATGAAATATCTGGTTAAACAAAATACATGATTATATAAGAGATAAATATAAAAATAGAGGAATGGCTGATAGATATACATAATAATAATATACAGGAGATAAAATATACCGATGGGATATGACTGAAATGGAGATATTTGTCTAACAGCGGACCTGACACAGAATGAGAGATTATATTTACTGATTGGCATATTGTTTTCATCGATGTTCGGGTACTGAATCGTACCCCCCTCCCCCTTCACAATCAATTCACTAAAAAATTAGTCTAAAATCAGACAACTGAATTATATTTTCGTTTCGTCATATTATCGCGGTTAAATTTCACCCGGCCGTCATGTGATAACTTCCACGTAAGTCATTAGTGTCCAATTAATTAGGTATTACATTTTTATTCAGTTTAAATTACATTTTAAAACAATCTCTGTGAATACAACCGTCTTTCAATATCCACGTCCCCCGTCACTACTGATAACTTGCTACGTATATGAAATCCTGTCATGCATTCTCGAAAACGGAAACGTGGAGCGATGGTTTTGATGCTATAGCGACTCTTCGTGGTCAAGTTGCCTGAAATGGTCCGGGTCCCGTCTAACAAAGCACACTGACTCTTTTTTATGACTATTTTTATGACCATTGGATTGATATCATACTTATTAATATTGAGCAGTGACAGTTTTGTCACCTTTTGAACCTCGGTGGATTAGGAGATATTTTTTAACCATCGACGGAATGGATTTTTGGAGAATTTGCACACGAATTCTTCCCTCGCACACCTTATATATTTGTCTGTTCAGATCCCTCACTGACCTACATGTTGAACACCAATATCCCTATCACTATCGACCTATATGTTAAAGAAATTTACTCTACAAATCTATAGAACTTACTTATACGTGACGTTACTAAACAACTCTATAGAACTTACATGTACGTAACGTTACTAAACAACTACTCTATAGAACCTACGTTACGTTACTACAGAACTATTCTATAGAACTTACAAATACTTTACGTTATTAAAAAACTATAATAGAACTTTTACTTGTAACGTTACTAAACAACAACATTATATAGAACTTTTACTTGTAACGTTACTAAACAACAACATTATATAGAACTTGTACGTAAAAGTTATTCAAATTATATAGCATTTTTGGAACCGTGTACAAAATCAAATATGGCGTGCTACTTCCGGTTTCCTCCCATTGCTAAACACCCCAATACAGAAGCGAATTTTTTAAATAAAATTGTACTATGCTAGTCCACACTACACCCCCCCACCCCCGACACACATACACACACACACCCGCTCTCCCACTTGGTTATTTTTATATTTTCTCAATTAGAATATTTAATACGATCTCGAATCCATATACGTGTGTCATTTTTCTTGTTCCACTTACGAATTAAATGAAGCCAACGATATTTGAAGCCCGCGTATGTAAAGCGGAGTAGAGGTTTACGGCCGGTCAATCACTTATTTGATAGTTATTTTATGGCTCAAATATCTGCGTTTAGGTCTAAATATTTGTTCTGATTATTTTTTTAAGGAATTTAATCTTTTCTTTTTGTTGAATTTTTGTTTTAAAAGACCAGAGTAAGGCTGTCATATTGTCATCGTCAGTATAATTTACATCGTATCCTGCATCATTGACTAGCCATTTTACTGTATCTAATGTACCTAGATAACAGCTATGATGTAGTGGATAACAACATTTACCATAGTCACCCTCGTCCGTCATGTCATCTTGATATGGTCGACATATTATAATCTTAGCACCTTTAGAGATAAGGAAATTAATCTTTTCCATCTGTTGAACCTTTGATAGGAAACAGCATAATAATGGTGTATAAATGCCTACCGAACGCTGATTTATATCCAGCCCTATTTCATTCACGAGAAATTTAAGAGTTTCAGTTATACCGTACCGACAAGTAAAATACAGCAAAAACGTATTATCGTTATTTATATGTAAACTTGCCCCTTTTGTTGACAGGAATTTCAGTTTACTGACGGGACTTTTTGGAGACATACAACAGCACATAACCGGTGTCCAACCGTTATTGCCCCTATGATGCATACCCAACTCTATGTCATTCACCAAATATTCAACAGTTTCAATATTACCAAATCGACAACTAACATGCAGTAAGCTCCAATTATTATCATCTACAGTATGTAAACTTACCCCTTGTGATGACAAGAATCTGAGTTTACTGACAGGATTAATGTCAGACATAGAACAGTGTATAGCCGGTGTTCTACCATTAGTGTCTCTATGATGGACATCTAGTCCTATGTCATTCACCAGATATTTAACAGTTTCAATAGTACCGTCTTGACAACTAGCATGCAGTAAAACCACCTTATCATTATCTACTGTGTGCAGATTTACCCCTTTTGATGACAGTAATTTGAGTTTACTGACAGGACTTATTTTAGACTTGGAACAGCATATAGCTGACGTCCAACCTTCATTATCTTTATGATGGACATCCAGCCCTATTATATTCACCAGATATTCAACAGTTTCAATAATACCATGTAGACAACTAAAATGCAGTAAACTCATATTATTCACAACTACATCACTTAAACTTACCCGCTTTGAAGTCAGAAATTGGAGTTTCTTGATAGGATTATCATTAGATAAAGAACTTTGTATAGCTGGTGTTATACCTTTATTGTTTTTATGATGAACATCTAGCCTTACGTCATTTACTAGATATTCAACAGTTTCAATAGTACCGTCTCGACAACTAACGTGCAGTAAACTATTATTATTATTATCTACAGTATGTAAACTTACTTCTTTTGATGAGAGGAATTTAAGTTTACTGATAGGATTTATTTTAGATGTAGAACAGAATGTAGCCGGTGTGTTACCTTCATTGGTTTTATATTGGACATCCAGCCCTATGTCATTTACTAGATATTCAACAGTTTCAATAGTACCCTGTATACAACTAACGCGCAGTAAACTGTTATTATTGTTACCTACAACACGTAAATTTACCCCTTTTGACGACAGGAATTTGAGTTTACTGACAGGATTAAACTTAGACACACAACAATGCATAGCCGGTGTCCAACCATCATTGTCTTCATGATGGACATCTAGCTCTAGCTCTATTACATTAACTAGATATTCAACAGTTTCAATAGTACCCTCTCGACAACTCAAATGCAGTAAACTATTATTATTATTATCTACAGTATGTAAACTTACTCCTTTTGATGAGAGGAATTTAAGTTTACTGATAGGATTTATTTTAGATACAGAACACGACATTGCCAGTGTCCAATCATTATTGTCTTTATAATGGACATCCAGCCCTATGTCATTTACTAGATATTCAACAGTCTCGATAGTACTCCAAACACAACTAGCATGCAGTAAACTCTTATTATTGTTAACTAAAACACGTAAATTTACCCCTTTTGATGACAGGAATTTGAGTTTTTCGATAGGATTAATGCTAGATAGACAACAGAACATAACCGGTGTTAAACCTTCATTGTCTTCATAATTTATATCTAGCTCTATTTCATCAACTAGATATTTAACAGCTTCAAGAGTACCTTCTCTACCACTACGATGAAGTAAACTCCTATTATTATAATCTACAGCATGTAAACTTGCCCCTTTAGATGACAAGAATTTGAGTTTCTTGACAGGATTAATGCTAGAGGCAGAACAGAATACAACCGGTGTGTTACCATCATTGTCTTTATGGTGGACATCTAGCCCTATTTGATTTACTAGATATTCAACAGTTTCAAGTTCACCATATCCACAACTAATGTGAAGTAAACTACAGTTGTCATCATCCAAAACCTGTAAACTACACCCCCTGGACAACAAGAACTCGAGTTTTTTAATAGGATCAATATCCGACATCACAGAATAACATACAGGAGTCCAACCAGTCTTGTCTTTTTGATTTATGTTTAATCCTATTTCATTCACTAAATAATGAACCGTGTCAATAGAACCACGACCACAGCTATGGTGTAGAATACTACGGTTATTTTCATCTACTACATTAAAATCCATACCTTTATTGTTTAAAATTCTCATCTTATCAACAGATTCACAACATATGAATAAAATACTTTTATTAAAAAGATTTCTATCTGTTCCATATGGCAATATACGATCTAAGATAGTTGTTAACATGGAGTTATCCTGTAACTTTGTTGCTTCACCAATTATGGTCTGGGTATACTTGGGATCAAAAGATGTCATCTTGTTCATTAGTATTTCAAAACACTTTATGTCATCATTAGCTATTATTTCTAATAAAGGAATTCGATTGAGTTTATCAGCCTTATGTAAAAATGACCCAGCTTCGATTAACTGATTTAGAATCTGGGTTACATCGACATCAGTTCTACCGCCATAAGAGCTGCAAACAATATGAATAGGTAACCTGCCCATATCATCTTTGGCATTAACCTCCGCGTCTTGACTTATTAAAATAGACACAGTCTCTTTTTTGCCTCGCGCAACAGCCAGATGTAGTGGTGTACTACCACTGTCATCTCTAGCATTTACATCAAACGCCCTGTCTATCAGAAAATTGATTATTTGATGATTGTCGTGCTTTGAATCACACGCATTATGAAGAACTGTTCTTGACTTATTATCACGCTTGCTTTTGTCGAAGTTTGTGAAATTACTGACATGGTTAACAATGTCAAATTTATCTGAGTAAACCACTAAATGTGGTAATGCCGATAAGTCTCCAATTTCCTTTTCATTTAAAAGATTCATTTTTTTGATAGGGTCATGAACCGAAACAGCAGCAAGGCCGATTATATCCCACCCCATATCCGTTTTTTCCTCAACTAATTGGGGTAGCTGATCATGAAAATAAAAGAGTGCTGCTTCGAGACATCTCATGTCTCCATGAAGTGTAATGTAATGAAGAAAATTGCCACTTTCCTGTACTTCACGAATATCTCCCAAATTGATAAATTTGGTGTGCAACAAATTGGCTATGTCATTTCTACCAAGAAAATGTAATAAAAATTTATAGTCAATGAAAGCGGGGTGGCTGACGATATCAGCATGCTTATCATGTAATTCTTTTAAAAATCGCATAGAAAGCTCGTCGAAATAAACGTCATGTATTTTAATACACCGATCTACTTGGTGATTTGTTCTAACCACTGACATCAAAAGCTCAAAAGAACAGTATTGTAAAGCCATTTCCATGCATTCAACGGAAAGGTGGTGTAAAAATGGCACCCCAACAAAGTCTCGCAATGAAAATATGTTCATATAATGTTTGAGGAATGTATCTGAAAGTTCATTGAGATTACGCTTAGCGCCATTCAATTTAAATTCTGGGCATATTTCTTTAGTGACGGTCGAAATAAGAGACTTAACTCTCGCGGGACAATTTTGTTTAAGGTCTTTCTCTGAAACAGTATGTAAACAAAATACTAGTGCTAGTGTAGCATATATATATTTATTTTCGTTCCAAAACGTTTCTAATTCTAAAATAAGAAATTCATGCGAACTATCAAAAATCGCCGGTAATTTATCAGTCGTTAATTTGCTACACAAACTGGCAATCGATGGAAAACCGAAACAGTCAGTAATTTTGGAAATTATCTTATTAGATGATATTTCATAAAAATCTAAAAATTGTCCCTTTTCTTTAGTGTTTAAAGAGAATTCGCCTTTATGAAGAAATATTTTATTTGTTTTTTCAACATGTTCCACAAATAAATCATATTTGTCTAATTGATATTTAGAAGAAAGGTAAATATAATCTCTCATTACATAAATAATAACTAATTTGCCCCTTTCTTTATTAACCCGAAGAGTGCGAAAATGAGCAGGCCATTTATCAATACGTGCCTGTAATTTATTATATTTACCATACATGTCATCGATGATATAAAGATACTTATCATCTTCAAAGCTCACTTCTTTTAAATCATCCAAATCATTAATCAACAATGGTTTATATTCCGGACGTTCTTCAATGAATTGTTTGGCTATCATCATTGATAGCACAGTTTTACCATCACCAGCCGCCCCTACTATTCCTAGGATTTGATGATTCTTCAGTATCTTCAAACCTTCATAAAGGGCACGGGTCTCAACATATTTTTTATCTTTCACATAGTTAAGATTTTCCAGTGCTTCACCTGAAGACAAAAGGTAAGTTTATTGATATGAGCTATATATAAATCGCTAAAAAAAAAGAAAAACACCTTAACAACTTTGAAACACAATGTATTTAAGCTAGGCTTAAAAGTATGTCACATTATACATTTTAATTTGTGTGGGGTCTTTCAAACCTTTGTTCAATCTTGTACCTTTTCAATAATTATAGAAGTAATTGAAACTTTTGAACTAAAAATCATGAAGATATCAAACACCGGATATTTACATTTGCTGTATATACACGTCACACAAACAGTCTCAGTATAAACCATACCTTGTTGACTTTTTGCGAAGAAAAAGAACGGGCACAAACATATTTCTCTAGATATGGAACATTAATTAACTGTGTGTCCTAATTTATAGCCAAGAACAGCAAATATCAGGTTTTACCAAATCCAGAAAGAGACTAGCTAATGTTTGAACGGGCAAAATACCTAATGGTCCAACTTTCAACCAAAATGAAATTAAATGAGGTTTAACATCATATTGGTCTACTGGGCTAATGGAGACAGGAATTCCAACTGCCAAGAGTTCTTGTCACGTGCACACCAATGCGTATACTAGACCTCGGTTTATCGTCTTATACGCACGACTATACATTGTCAATTCCCTCCCCCTCCTGCATCACTGAAAAGCAAGTGCAGATTTGAAATTGGCCCAATAAAAAATCAATGTCTTATTGAAAAACAATAACCGCTTCTTTCTTTAAAGGATTAGGTTGCCGAGCAGGATTTAAGCCTCATTTTATTCCATTAAACTCCTTTCGGTCTTTCAATTTCTTTAAAAGCAGTACAGAATTGAGCTTTTCTGGGATACAAATAAGACATCATACCAAAAATACAATATTATTCATATAGAAATTCTTAGAATTGCCCGTTGATATCACTGTTAAATGTGACATTTAACTTATTGGGGATGGGGTGGGGTGTTTCGACATTTGCGAGGTCACAATGCTCATGTATCTAATTCATTTGTGTTATATCCTGATCCTTCCGCCACATAATCATAAATATACAATAAAACCTAATAGAACCAGCGGCTGCCAGGCAGGATACGCCCACATTTTCGAGAGATGGATAGAGAAAAAGCTAACAAGAAAGTGATTTTTCCTACTATCAAGGGCCATAATTCAGGAAATTACAATTCGATATGCGCTTAATCGAAAGGAACTGAACGACTGGCAGCCATTTTGTCTGTCAATTTTGGGCCGATTTTCACGAAATTCGAACTCAATCGTCCTCAGGGTGTAACGGTGATATAATAATACGGTTTTTTAAATCGGATAAAAATTATGACCTCTATAGGATCCACAAGCTAAAAACGCAATTTTTCGTACAATCAGGGGCCATAATTCAGGAAGTTACGGTCCGATATGTGCGAATATCGAAAGGAACCAAGATCTGTGAGTTATAAACTTACATTTCAAGTTTCAACAAAATCGGATAAAAATTGTGACCTCTATAGGGTCCACAACCTTGATATAACATACTCTTATGCTATTCCAGAAAGAACGGCTGCCATTTTGTCTGTCAATTTTGGGCCGATTTTCACGAAATTCAAACTCAGTCGCCGTTAGGGTGTAACGGTGATATAATAATACGGTTTTTTAAATCGGATAAAAATTATGACCTCTATAGGGTCCACAACCTAAAAACGCGATTTTTCGTACAATCAGGGGCCATAATTCAGGAAATTTCTTACGCTATTTGAGAACGAACGATGGCCATTTTGTCTGTCAATTTTGGGCCGATTTTCACGAAATTCGAATTCAGTCGTCCCTAGGGTGTAACGGTGATATAATAGAATGTTTTTTTAAATCGGATAAAAATTATGACTTCTATAGGGTCCACAAGCTAAAAACGTGATTTTTCGTACAATCAGGGGCCATAATTCAGGAAGTTACGGTCCGATATGCACGAATATCGAAAGGAACCGAGATCTTTGGGTTATAAACTTACATTTCAAGTTTCAACAAAATCGGATAAAAATTGTGACCCCTATAGGGTCCACAACCTTGATATACCATATTCTTACGCTATTTGGGAACGAACGGCGGCATTTAGTCTGTCAATTTTGGGCCGATTTTCACGAAATTCGAACTCAGTCATCCTTAGGGTGTAATGGTGATATAATAGAATGTTTTTTTAAATCGGATAAAAATCATGACTTCTATAGGGTCCACAAGCTAAAAACGTGATTTTTCGTACAATCAGGGGCCATAATTCAGGAAGTTACTGTCCGATATGAGCAAATATCGAAAGGAACTGAGATCTTTGGGTTATAAACTTACATTTCAAGTTTCAACAAAATCGGATAAAAATTGTGACCTCTATAGGGTCCGCAAGCTAAAAACGTGATTTTTCGTACAAACAGGGGCCATAATCCATGAAGTTTCGATCCGATACATGCCAATATCGAAAGCAGTCGAGATCTTTTGGGGATAAACCTATATTTCAAGTTTCGTCGAAATCGGATAAGAATTGTGACCTGTAGAGAGTCCACAAACAATTGTGGACGGACGGACGGACGGACGGACAGGGGCGACGGCATAATACGTCCACATGAAAATGTGGGCGTATAAAAAGCAGAAACAAACGATATTGTACGATTCATAACCATAAAGTCAATAGCAATTACCATGAAGTAGGTGAGGGAGCGAGTAAGAATGGGTGACTTGCTATAAATTCACGAAATCTTAGCCTATACGGAGACAGACAACCAAATATTTGTTGTATACGTCACTACCTTCCTTGTAGATAGTGCATATCCGTCTCATCATTCCGTATGAAGTCCAGTAATAAACACCTGACATGATTAACTACTGTCTTCATAGTCATCATTATAACAAATTTCACATAGAATATATTGAAATCTAAACTCTACCTTTCATTGTCCTCAATTTGTGACTGTCTATACTCCTTTTACCTGAAATACGTGTAAATATAGAACAATAACCACTCCCATTTGGCAACCAATTACACCTTATAGGTCAACTTATAATTTAATATTAAAATTTTAGAAGGAAATGCACTACACACTAGATTGCACTAACTGGACCCAAGATCTGGTCATAAAAACTAAATAATAGGAAAATATGATTTACTTACCTAATAAATCACTGTGGTCTTTACAGAATTTGTCAAATCTAGATTTCAGTAATATATCAAAGCTGTCCTGTTAATATAAATCAATCATACTAATTCCAGATGCTGTTTGGGGAGGTAAAGCACGGCGAAATGTACCAGCATCAATTAAATGCAAATGTGTAGTGGCATCATGTGTTGAAAACATTGGTTGCCATGCAATGAAACATACGATTACAGGACCTACGTCATATGACAAGTCCAAAAACGTTATCGCGGATTTTATTCGTTTGCAGGTAATGATCAACATCAACATTTATATTTAAACCAGCACTGGTAATCAGATGATCAATTTAGCTGTTCCAGTTATCATCAGACAATTAAAAAATAACTTGAGTATCTGGTGGGCGTATAAAAAAGGCTTACAGCCGACGTAGACAGAAGGAAATTATTCTTTGAATACGTCTTTTATTTGCTTGTTATTTGTGGGTTTTTTGTTGATAATTTTGAAGTCATAATTCCTAACTATATTGGATTTTGACTTTCCCCCCTATTCTTGAATTTTATTATTTGTCATCTATTCTAAGAACACCTATCTCGCACAAAACACAGATATGATCTAGTAACAAAACCATTTACCACAATCTCGACCACAAATCGTTCTAGTGCAACACGACCCTAATCAATTTGATGTGATTTATATGTCTTGTTGATATTCAATTTGATGTAGAACAGTACAGGGTTTGGTATACAACCGATGAGGGGAAGATTTCAGGAATAATATAGCAATATCAATTCTAGACGTACCCGGAACCCTGGCAATAATCCGTCATGTGTAGTATTACCTGGCTTGTCATCTCGGTGACCTTTATAACCTATCAACAAAGAGTGTAATAAATTACTTTATATTTTCTGAGAATAAAACTAGCAATAAGAATACAAGTAAGCCAATGGGTTTTGGATGCTAACACAGGGGGTTGCCATGGGCAATCAAATACAGGTAGTTTATCCGTACACACTTCACAAATACCAAATGGTAAAATAAGGGTAGTTTGTATTCGTACACACGTCACAAATAGCAACACGTTAAACAGAAAATTGTTTGTAATCGTACACACTTCAAAATTATCAGCTTTGTCTCAACTGCAACAAATGTTGAGCAACTTTGATAAAGATCTAGGTTCCTTGAAGAAATCTGTTCAGGTTTCACCCTCTTATAACCCCAGTGCTTACTAAAGGCTGTGAATTATGAGTATCGATTGGGTTCATCCCCTCATGACCTGAATGCTTCACACAAACATCGATAGCCGCTACCGTTTTGACAAAGGGGAAGGGGGGAGGGTTCCAAAGTGGAAAGTCGCTGAACGCTTACAATCGATAAGGTTCGTCCTCTCAGGACCACAATGCACCATACCAATTTTAAAAAAAAAAATCCGTCGAAACCTACAGCCTTCATAAGGTTTTCGGTAAAGCGGTAGGGGTAAATCTGGGACGGAAGTCGTAGAACACTGATAAGAATCTGTTAAAAATCGTAGCCTATATTGCGCACACACGGTTTTTGGCAAAGGGGGATAACCCCGAAACTGAAAAGTCGTAGATCGCTGAAAGGGTCCATTCTTGCATGGAATCAATGCTTCCCCCCAACAGTCCGTTAAAAACTGTAGCCTCGAATGCGTTCAGAAGATTATGAGAATAAGTAAATAGCCCCTCTTTTGCATTCACCGAATGGGTTTATGCTTCTGATCTCATTCCGACTGAGAGGACGAGGACGATGATAGACCTTTAAAGGGTAAAAATTATTTTATATCTGCCTGGTATTATACAGACGGAAACTAACCTGGTTCGAGTTTAAATACAGCATTATAATATTGCTTGTCATATAGAGCAGCTATAAATTTATCATAACCAGTGTGACCACACCCCAAAATAATATCCAGTATTTTCCTTGCGGCGGCTTGTCTACTATCCTTCTCTGCCTTTTCTATTTTCTCCTTATCATCCTCATTGAAGGCATGTTTTTCAAATAAAGAATCTGCTACACCCATTGGATCATGTTTTATCTCACCGATAAGATATGTGAAATTATCTTGAATCTTGTTATATTGTTCATCTGGAAGTCTTCCTCGAGTACTTCCGCCACCTGACGCCATTTTGTTAGAGTCTATTTACCGCTATATAATTGTTCTCTCAACATATATTAATTTAGTTTGACTGTTCCGTTTTCTTCCTCTTTCGTTTCATTTTGTACCTAGAAAACATTACAAAATAAAAAATAAATAAAATACAAAATAATATAAAATTTCTAAAATTGAATGTCGATATTTTCCCACTTTATGGAAGAATCAACGAAGAATTTGGTGAATATTCATGATAGATTAATAGATTTAAGATTTTGGTTACGTTGAAATGTTGAATGGTGGATAGTTACATGTTTTGTATGGCATTTATGTTGACCTCTCGATCTATTATCGAAGAAGACTGATTGAATTGGTGAATATTCATGGATTAGATGATGAGTAAGTTACTAGACATGCATTGATGAAATAGCCTACTAAAATGACGTTACTTCCTATAGATGTCTTTGACCAAGCCTAGTGAGTTATGTAATCCATGTGACATTAAACGCGAGACATAAACTGATTATTGGGACAAAACATTTGAACGTCAACAATTTACAGTTTGTTAGTCATGTGGAATCCCCAAACGAGAAGATGTATCTGGTGGATCCACCACAGAACCTTGTTTTGTTTGAATAATCTTTTTCTTGGCGGAGGACCCGGAGAAAACCCACGAGGTTGAACTAGCGACACTATTCATTGTCCCGAAGCCACGCCACTTGAATCAATGACAGATCTTATGATCTAAAGCGTACGCGTTAAACCATCCAATAGCCCCCCGTACACTATTCTAAGTAAAGTTGCGGTCATGGACCAGGAAGGAGCCCCGTCAGCTACACTAATTGGATCGCCTGTTTTGCAGGTTCTCTCTCTCTGGAATCGAACCCGATTCCCCGTTTCGATTCCCCGTTAAGCGTCAACAACGTGGAAGATAAGTCGCCAATTGACAGAACAGACACTTCGTGGTAAAGCAGTCTTGGGTCCCGGAAAGACACCGCGATCGGCACAGTTGGGTGGGGGACCACGGTGCATGGCATGTATTATCTCTTTATTTACCACATCCATTAGAACAACCCATTTTTCATCAAGAAACCTGATCTGACTAAAGAGCCGTTCTCAGTTTTGGCTTGCTCGTGAAAGGAACGTGCCCGAACTTAAACTTGCATGTCTGAAGCACTAGCTAGGATCAACCAGATAGCTTTCACGAGTTGAGAGATAGCACCACCAGTATCCGCCCCAGTCGCAGACCCCTCCGTCTGCAAACTCAAGAGAGATCAGGAACCGAACAGCGGGGACGACCGAGAAGGAGAATAGTAGCCAGGACTGAACACACACGTAAAGTCGAGATGGGCGACATGCGAGAGACGGGAACTCTCCGAGGCCACACACCGAGAAGGCGGTGTCGTGTAGATGGTAATCGATGGGCGCTGATTTAACAAGCTCGAGCTCATGTTCCGCAAAAAGGGTCGTTTACGGTGCATCTACCAAAAGCTTATGGCAGTATATTAGACTCAAAATTCAAACATGCTATCGTCTAATTTCTAACTTCTATTCATGTAATTTCTAACTTCTATTCATATAATTTCTAACTTCAATTCATGTAATTTCTAAATTAAGACAATGTATAATCCAACTTCTTTTTTTATTCACTGTAAATTTTAATTCTGTTTCATCTTATTTCATTCAACCTGACGAAGAGCGAGTCGTTGGTATCAACATAATGGTCCCGATCACACGGTGGCGACACCAAACGACGTCATAATGATGGTTGCTAAGTAGAAGTATCAAAATCCTAAATTTGTTTGACTTTCATGCTTAACATGTAAAGCGACAACAAAGTAGACATTTTTCGTCTTAATAATAGAAATAAGATGAAACAGAATTAAACATTGTCTTAGTTGGATTATACATTGTCTTAATTTAGAAATTACATGAATAGAAATTAGAAATTACATGAATAGAAGTTAGAAATTAGACGATAGCATGTTAGAATTTTGAGTCTAATATACTACCATAAAAGCTTCGGTAAACGTTTATTTCTGTAGGCTCTACGGTGCAGAGTTTATGAGGTATTCGACATCTGTGGCAATATCAATGTAAAAAGACCTGTGACAATTTGACTTTGCGGATTATTTCCAGTTTACGTTGGCTTTAGTTCTAATGGAATTAAAAATACTTACATCAGAAACAGAGATTGTACTGCACAGGTAAATGTATTCTCTTCATTATTTAATCCAAGTGTGTAACGTGCAGAGTAATATAAAAATTAACTACTAGCACTGGCAACTAATTTAAGTGGTCACACACGCGGTAATATTAGTTAACTACTAGCACTGGTAACTAATCCAAGTGGTCACACACGCGGTTAACTATACCGACGCGGTCGATAAGCCTATTTATATAATTCAAAGTATGCGTTGTTATTCATCAAAATCCTATTTTATTGGCTACTCATATTCACAATGAAGACGCGTGTCACACGTGATCAATTTCATGTTCACCTGCATGCGGTTATATGATTTAATTTTACAAGGCGACCATGTGACTCTTTATGTTGCCATGTGCCCGTCACAAAAATATGTGGTACCTATAGAACAGTCTGTAGACAGAACACACTACTAAACACAGCACCACCTAATTCTAGTAAATGGTTTGAAATAACAACAAATGAAATGAAGTTAGGTTTAGTTTAACTTGATTATTACAATTTAGGCTTCCAATACATCATTTGAGACAGTTTGTATATTGAACTATTTTTTAGAGAATTGACGTCGTTAATCTGTCCTGAGTGATAAAAATCTACTCATCCTTATCATTCAATCCTGATTTAAAGTAGCTAAGTCTCTAACTGAATATCATCCAAAATCTTCAACATTCAAAACACGAATTATTTGCTAATTTAAATAAACATTGATGTTGTGATCTTATCGGGAAACGATGGGCTTCTGATATCCAATATTTAAGACAAAATAAACATTTTACCATTGGTACACGAATCGTGTACCATAATGCGTTTCAGCGCCATTTGTAACAAGGGACTCAAAAACGAGGCTAAGCATATTCAACAAGTCATGTCAAACGGTGACACCATATTCTTATCTGGAGAGCATGCACAATAAATACTATCAGTGTAGACTGGAATAACCAGACGCTAGAGATTGCCATTCGATCGAGACTTCAGGCGTATTTCGCCGAGCATAACTGATTAGAAATTAGAGTAAAAACAGAAATTATTGAATGTAAATCAGATTATATACATTCATATTACATTATTATATGCGTTGCAACCCATTTGTGTCAATTTCCAGATCCCAAATATTAACGATTTAGCTCCTTTAACTAAAGTTCCTGAATTGGTAGATTCTCAATCTAAACTTGAATCTAACTAGACAGAGATACCGCCCAAAATCGCAAACAGATCGCCATCAAGTGACAAATCTTTATGTTTTCATTGTGGTAAATTGGGTTATTTTTAATGCTTGTGTCTAATATCGAAAATTATCATTGAACGTTTATTAAACAATTTGTCTCAATCACGGCACTGTTATTTACGGTTCATTCCCATATCGCCGACTCTCCAAGTTTTAGGATAAAAATTTGGGTCGGCGTTAAGGGGTTGAGTGGCCAAAAACAATAGACCCAAACTGAAGGATAAAACTAATTAAGCAGATAATTCTGGGAGCATTTATTTTTTTTTTTTAAATTTATAACAACCTTTAACACATAATTTTAACTATGTGCACGCATAAAGTATCCAACATAGTCCAAAAATTCTAACAAATTCATTCTTCCTTGTTCATATCTATGTTTCGAATCTTCAATCTTTCTGTTCATATGTTGATATCGCTGTATATTTTTCTTTTTGGGTAGTTGTCGCTGGCCACTTGTATACTGCCATAACTGAATTTCAATCGTCATTTGTTGTTGCAAAAGTGCCATTACTTCAAAAATAGTAGGATGAGCTATTCCAATTAATTTGTTTAGGCATCTGTGCCATCCCTCTAAAGAGTAGTTGGTTCTTCGCGTGGTTTGGTTGTGGTTCCATTGTATTTGTGTAAATTGGCCGTCTAACCATTGCGTAACTATATAGTCGGACAGTTATCTATATTTGTCGTTATTCTTTCTCTTTTGCTGTATAGGAATAAACTTAGATTGTAACTGTGCATTAGCCATCGTAAAGAAATGAATATGAAATGTCTTGGAATGATTTACGTACTTATACTTATTATGAGAAATAATCACAATGAACTGAATTTAGATCACCTGTCAGCTTTATGTTGAATTGTACCCTATTATTTTATTAATTAACGAGTGAGTTGAATTCTGATAAAATTCAAGTTCATGTAATTTAAGTGAACTATATTCATTTTATTAATTAGTGACTGTTGAATTCTGATAAAATTAGTGAACTATATCAATAATGACTGGTCCCTGTCTCATTAACGCTTTTAATCCGTTTTTAACCCATCAAAGAGTCCCGCGGTCGACTTTCCAAATTCTGGTGAGTCGGGGATATGGGAAGACCCCCTATTTACAATTACCGGTAAAACACCCAACAAATAGCTTCAGATAGACTGTAACACTTGATTGTGACGACTCCTGTTACGACAAATTATTATTGACTGTGACCCTATAAATTCTGTCCCAGCGGCTTTATCGCAAATACATAATGGCTAAGAAAGTGTTTCCGCGTTACCCTGACGTACGGTAAGTCCATGGTGACGCAGTTTACGCAACATGTACTTCAGATGACTCAACAGGTGATCTTTGGCCGTCAGAAGGCTGCGTGAACCCGATGCAAGTACTGTGTTACGCGTAGAGATGTAAATATATTCATATATTTCTACATTGCAAAAATAGTTGTCTTAACTGTCATACACAAGGAGTGAGGAGGACCTAAATAAAAATCATAGGAACAATTTGCAATTTGAAGCTTAAAATATTGAAAGTTGTATTTCTGCCGAACTAACGGGTTCTGGGGTCTGCCCTCTTAGTAAGCTTATCTGTGACCCATAGAACCCATAGAGGAGGTCCAGTGCAAAAAGTTTTATTCAGATCCAAAATCTAGTACCTTAACAGTTTTATGGGTATGCCATGATGGAAGATGTACGCACTTATGTTACTTTATTGACTGAATGCAATATTAAAAATTTCCCAGCTGTTTATATCGGTCGTCAAACTAACAACTCAACCGTATTTACCAACAGTTAGTGTTTGTTTTAAAACTTGTGTAAATTGAGGAACACTTTTCCCCAGAAAACATAATGTATAACTCGATCATCCGGGTTAAAAGTTAACTGCCAAATTTTCTATTGAAACTGATTTAATAAAAAGCTGTTTACGACGGTAGTCAAGTCACCTTTAAACTGTAGTTGAAAGAAATGAATAACGTCATTTGATATTGTATTCAATAGAGTTTGAAAGAACGGTTTTTAAATAACACAGACATGTATTCTGATCTCTTTTAATCGGATCCTACAATAAGCATTAAATTGTTGTACCAAAATAACAAGACGAGAACTTGTCTGAACATGTATTAATCTCTATGAAAACGTTAGATTTTACATAAAAGGAAAAATTCAAATAGGTGTGATACTGGACCGCTATTAGTAAGTGCAGGGGGACTGCACCACACAAAATTTACACAAAAACAAATACACGGACAAGACATCATACTCAGAAAAACACAAACAGACTAACAATTCAAAATATATAATATATTAAATTAATATCCCACACAAGAAATGCAAAACAGGTATGCTGAAGAAATCGTACTATGTAAGTGTATTTATAAAGGCATAACAATAAGGGGGATATCTCAGATAGAGTTAGGTAACTACAGAAAATCAATATAAAATTTGACTTGGATCATTATCCAATATGTAATCGGTTATATACTTATAAGAAATGTCAAACTTGATATGTTGAAGAAATGGAAGTTTTGAAATTTCTTTTAAAATGCGTAATTGTGTGCCGCCTTTGGCAGTGCATTTAAAGTAAAGAGATTTTATTCGAGAAAGAAACAGTTCTTTATTGTTACATATTGTCGAAAATCGTAATGCCTGTGAATAGAAAACACTATATAGCGTCGTATCTGGTATGTTACTATAAATTGACGGGTATTTTACTACTTCAAAACCAAATTTGTCCGTTTTGTCGAAAATATCGACATTAAATTTAATGTTAATTATATTGATGTCCAGGTTAAGAACAGATGTCTTTACAGTGCCGAAATTTTCTTTATTTAATATTAGTTCAGGAGGATATATTTCACTTTTATATATGTTGAAATTTCCGTTATCATTGATAGGTGTTATGTCATCAATGTATCAGAAGGTATAGTTTAGACTTTTAGCTATTTTGTAATCTGTTTTTTCTTTTATGGTCTTGAAAATCGAATTCATATTTATGTAAATGTGCATTTGCCATAAATGGGGCGGGGTCAGTTCCCATCGGTAAACCAATAGTTTGTTGTATTATCTGATCCCCAACCTCAAATATGGCATTGTCAATAAGGAAATGTATGATGTTTTGAAATTTGTCTTTATCAAAAACTACAGTTTCGGCATTGCGACGTTTTATAATCCATTTAGCACCTTGGGCATAAATGGCCATCAAGTTTCTGCCTTTCCCGAAAGCTCCATTAAAGGCTTTATCTACAAACCAATCCAAATTATCTTTAAGATCTGCATGTTGAATCATAGTATACAAAGTAGAAAAATCGAACGTGTCTATAGTATTTGCATTTACTTTTTTATTGATTTTTTCTAAAGTGTCTACTAAAGGTTTATTTTTTTTATCAATTATAAAAAAACTATTAATTCCAGTATAGCTACGAAGTGTTCTGCACCAAATAGCATGTTGGGTTTGGCATAATTTAAGTCCTTTGGTGATAGTCTTAGCTAATGGTTTCGTTTGGCAGATACTGGAGGATATTATGTATCTGAACTTGACTGTTTTTTTTTTTTTTTATCTAATTTTGGTATAGAATAAATGTAAGGTAGTGCATCTATTTTCACATTGTCTTTTATAACATTACTCCTATTAAATGTATATTGGTTATGTAAAATATCTAGTTTAGTTAAATCTGTAATACATTTATAAGTGTCATGATGGGTATTGGGCCAAAGTCCAACTTCAGTAAGAATATTTCTAATATAGTATTTTTTACAAATAAAGGCAATATTATTGCTGGCGTTATCGATAGGCGTTAGAACAAATCTCTCTTGAAGAGTAGCAAGACATTCAACTGCGGATGTATTATTTAGGACTTCGGGTGGCGGATGTCTTGGGTTAAGTTTTATATATTTGATTCTCTTTGACAAGAGATCAAAAACAGTGTTTTTCCAT